ATAGCTTATTGTCCATGTTTCTGGGGGCTTTCCTGACAAGCACCTGTTGCTCGTAAATATATTTGTTGCTGGTGATGTATTGAAAATCTCTATATAATTACATATAGGGCTGTCATAAGGTGAATCAAAATAGTTTTCAATGCTCTTGAGAAGTATGAATTTTGGTTCAAATTTACTGTCAACCATAATGGACAAAATTAAAAACAATGGGTACGCATACAGAATACCGGATAGCTACCAGCCTTAATTGTTTAGTGTTACATCACCCCCTAACCCTACCCTAACCCTAACCTTACCCTAACCCTAAACATTACTCTAAACCTTACCTTAACCCTAAATGTTACCCTAACCCTAAACCTTACCCTAACCCTACCCTAACCCTAAACCTTACCTTAACCTTAAACCTTACCCTACCCTAACCATAAACCTTACCTTAACCCTAAACCTTACCCTAACCCTACCCTAACCCTAAAACTCCTAACCCTACCCTAACCCTAAACCTTACCCTAACTCTAAACACTTAACTCCTAACCCTAAACTAAACCTTACCTAACCTAAACTCTTACCCTAACCTAAACCTAACCCTAACCCTTAAACCCCTTACCCACCCTAACCCTAAACCTTACCCTAACCCTAAATCTTACCTTAACCCTAATCGTTACTCCTAACCCTAAACCTTACCTAACCCTAAATCTTACCTTAACCCTAATCGTTACCCTAACCCTAAACCTTACCTAACCCTAAACGTTACCCCACCCTAACCCTAAACCTTACCTTAACCCTAAACTTTACCCTTACCCTAACCCTAAACCTTACCTAACCCTAAACGTTACCCCACCCTAACCCTAAACCTTACCCTAACCCTAAACTTTACCCTAACCCTAAACCTTACCCTAACCCTAAATCTTACCTTAACCCTAATCGTTACCCTAACCCTAAACCTTACCTTAACCCTAAACTTTACCCTTACCTTAACCCTAACCCTACACCTTACCTTAACCCTAAACGTTACCCCACCCTAACCCTAAACCTTACCCTAACCCTAAACTTTACCCTTACCCTAACCCTAAACCCTACCCAAACCCTAAACTTTACCCTTACCCTAACCCAAACCTTACCCTAACCCTAAACCTTACCTTAACCCTAAACGTTACCCTAACCCTAAACCTAACCTAACCTAAACCCTAATCCTAACCAAAAGTACTGTAAACTCGCGTGCTTTCAAAGATGGCGGAAGGTATCCGGTATTCTGTAATCTTACCAAACAATCTCTTTGGCTTTTGGGTTAAAAGTACACCTTAACAATTATTTGAACAAAATGTTTTTACTTCAAATTTACTTGCCCGAATATTATGCCCTGTGGCAACTGCTTAACGTTTTACCATAAATGGGTATCACATTCCCACAGTACTAGTGTTCCTGATATTTTTGCTGATGGAATGTTCCTCTGTAAAGATAATCAATACTTGGCAGCCATTTTAGACATCGGATCCACAGTTTACTTACCAAGGTGTGGCACTCGGATTGTTCCTTGGTAAAGACGATCAATACTTGGCAGCCATTGTAGCCATCTGATCCACAGTTTACTCACCAGTGTTTGGTACAGGGAATGTTCCTCTGTAAAGACTGTCAATACCTGGCAGCCATTTTATACATCAGATCCAGTTTTCTCGCCGACGTGTGGGACTGGGAATGTTAATTAGTAAAGACTTTTCAATACCTGACAGCCATTGTAGTCATCTGATCCCCAGTTTTCCCACCAACGTGTCCACTCAGAATGTTCCTCTGTGATGACCATCAATTCCTGGCTACCATTTTTGACATCCGATCCACAGTTTAGCGACCACTACTAGGACCAGTGTTCCCACCCCACACAACACAGGGGTTGTCCTCTTTTAAAGAGGCACTGAACACGTCAAAGTATCTGATCGTCTAAAATTTGATGTGTCTGTTAAACTTGCTTGCTCTGCATGCTTTATGTGTGTGTGTGTGTGTGTGTGTAATAACATTGTCTTGTTCTGTAATAACATTGTCTCGCTCATCATGTTATTCAAGCACTGTGTTTACAAGTCAAGGTCTGATGATGTAGTAAAAGCACAAGAATCTCTTCAACAGTCGCTATGGCACACTTGAGGACATATTGGAAACAACATCAAATATTAAGTTGCTCTCTGGTAGCAAGTAATTTCAGCAATTTGGTCAGCTCCACATTCTGCAGATACAACTAAACATGGCTATAGCAAATTCAGCTGTAACAAGATAATGTTTATCATCAGCCATATCTACTTTACAATATTATTCTTGGAGCTAGCTTAAGCTTTATTGACTGACTGTCTGACTGAGTTTGGTTTTATGCCGCTTTTAGCAATATTCCAGCAATATCATGGCGGGGACACCAGAAATGGGCTTCACTCATTGTACCCATGTGGGGATTCGAACCCAGGTCTTCGGCGTGACAAGCCAACGCTTTAACCACTAGACTACCCCACCGCCCCTAAGCTTATTGAACCAGTTTAAGGAGAGGTTATAGGCCCAGACCAGTTGAAGAAATCACATGTATGAGTGCACTAACTCGGCACCGATGGGCCAGTAGTCCGAAGCAGAGTTGTGTCCCTTTCATACCCCAGATAGTGGTTTCAAATGCCGGTCCTCTTTAGTTATGTTGCTCGTGAAGATCCAGGTTAGAATATTGATCTTCAGTAACCCATGCTTGTAACAGGCGACTAACGGGATCGGGTGGTCAGGCTCGCTGACCTGGTTGACACATGTCATCGGGTCCCAATTGCGTAGATCGATGCTCATGCTGTTGATCACTGGTTTGTCTGGTCCAGACTCGATTATTTACAGACTGCCACCATATAGCTGGAATATTGCTGATTGCGGCGTAAAACTGAACTCACTCACTCACTCAAGTTTTTTTTCTTCGTTTGTCAGCACCATGATATTGCTAACTGTGAAGATCCAGGTTAGAATATTGATCTTCAGTAACCCATGCTTGTCGTAAGAGACAACTAACAGGATCGGGTGGTCAGGCTCGCTGACCTGGTTGACACATGTCATCGGTTCCCAATTGCGTAGATCGATGCTCGACACATGTCATCGGTTCCCAATTGCGTAGATCGATGCTCATGCTGTTGATCACTGGTTTGTCTGGTCCAGACTCGATTATTTACAGACTGCCACCATATAGCTGGAATATTGCTGATTGCGGCGTAAAACTGAACTCACTCACTCACTTCAGTTTTTTTTCTTCGTTTGTCAGCACCATGATATTGCTAACTGTGAAGATCCGGGTTAGAATTGATCATCAGTAACCCATGCTTGTCGTAAGAGACAACTAACAGGATCGTGTGGTTAGGCTCGCTGACCTGGTTGACACATGTCATCGGTTCCCAATTGCGTAGATCGATGCTCATGCTGTTGATCACTGGTTTGTCTGGTCCAGACTCGATTATTTACAGACTGCCACCATATAGCTGGAATATTGCTGATTGCGGCGTAAAACTGAACTCACTCACTCACTCACTTCAGTTTTTTTTCTTCGTTTGTCAGCACCATGATATTGCTAACTGTGAAGATCCGGGTTAGAATTGATCATCAGTAACCCATGCTTGTCGTAAGAGACAACTAACAGGATCGGGTGGTTAGGCTGCTGACTTGGTTGACACATCATCATATCCCAACTGTGTAGATCGATGCTCATGCTGTTTATCACTGGATTGTCTGGTCCAGATTATTTACAGACGGCCGCCATATATCTGGAATATTGCTGAGTGCGGTGGTAAACAACTAACAAACAAACAAAATCTTCACATATTCAGGTGCTTCACTGAAGTGGTGCCCATGCTGTTGATCACTGGCTTGTCTGATCCAGTCTCGATTATGTACAGACTACTGCCATATGGCTGGAATATTGCTGAGTATGGCATTAAATGACAAACCAACACTTAGGGCTATCCTTCCTCATCAAGCGGGGCGGTGGGGTAGCCTAGTGGTTAAAGCGTTGGCTCGTCACGCCGAAGACCCGGGTTCGAATCCCCACATGGGTACAATGTGTGAAGCCCATTTCTGGTGTCCCCGCCGTGAAGTTGCTGGAATATTGCTAAAAGCGACGTAAAACCAAAAACTCAGTCAGTCAGTCCTCATCAAGCTGTCATGTTAGTGATATGAATGAAAAACTTTAGAAAGCAACAATAAACTCTACTCACTCACTCACTCACTCACTCACTCACTCACTCACTCAATCTATAAACTCCTCTTAGTATGATCTAATTCATATGATAACTCACTTTCATTGATGTAGTGTTTAACTTCATATTGACATGGACCAAATAATGTAAAAGTGACTGCTACATTATGCATGAAAGAAAGAATCCTGGACTACAGCGAGCCGGTGTGATGTATGATGATGTGGATTGTGTTATGGATTTACTATATCATCACTCCTCTGTCCTCTGGGTTACTGTGTGTCTTGCTTGAAACATTCATCATCAACCAACATGCATGAAATATTCATCATCAATACGATTTGTAACTTGAAATTGTTTCCTTGAATTTTTACAATGATTAAATATTCTCAATTCTGTTTGCTCCTATTAAACTGATGCTCAATGGTTTTTACTAACATTTTGTGATTAATTTCAATATCTGGATATGATAATGTTCACAAAATCAATGCAATATGAAGAATGATATGGAGCTAATGTTCCATAGATTTGAATGCTGTTCTCTGTCTAAATTAAGCATTTCTCATCTAAAGAAAGCTGTTAATTTCTTATCTGGTAAATCACCTTTTAACAAGTAATCAGAATTGAAGTTTCTAACAACTATTAATGGCATGGCTACTCCATGATTTGTATATTGTAAGTACAGTCTGAGAATTTAAATACTCAGATGATTTGTTTATGTCAGTTTCAAACAAGAAAGCTTTTTAGTTAAACTAGGGATGTTTTTGGTTCATTTGTTATTATCTAAAAATATGTTTTGTTTTGTTTTGTCAGGAAAGGAAGTTTGTTGGTGGGTCCCAGCAGATTAGTATTAAAATGGCAGAGAAGATAGGAAATGGTAAGTTGACCAGGTTACCAGGTAAATGTGAACTTGTACAATACCGTCTACACATTATATAAAGATCCATGGTCTTTCAAGTTTAAGAAACATGACTATGTACGTGTCATCTTCATTTTTTTAAGATGACAAGATCAATGTCTTCAATTATGAAATGGGGCTATATTGGGGCAGTAGGGTAGGCTAGTGGTTAAAGTGTTTAAGAACCATGACTCATGTCCTCGAAGGCCAAGGTCAATGATTCCCTACATGGGTACAATGTGTGAAGCCCATTTCTAGTGACCCCAATTCTCTCACTCACCCATGTCGCTGTATCACTGGATTGTCTGGTCAAGACTCGATTATTTACTGACAGCCGCCATATAGCTGCAATAGTGCTCAGTGCAGCATTAAACAACAAACAAACAGTCGACTAACCTTTATATTTAATTATGATGAATGTAGTATCGATTTCGACATGGTGAAAGCAACTTTTTAAAATTTGGTAACAGGGAAAAAGAAATTTGTAAAATAAAGCGGATATACCAGTTTAGTTACACTTCTCAACGCCCATGTAAGCTGTTTGTGTCTATCGAAGCTCATGATGTTGATCAATGGATTGTCTGGTCCAGACTTGATTATTTACAGACAGCTGTCATGTAGCTGAATATTGCTGAATAAACAAACATAATTGTAACAGTTTCTGCAACTTACACAGTGCTGGTCTGGCATATGTATGTCTGATGTCTTGCATTTACAGATCGTGTGTTGTTGAATCATCCTGTGTCAAAAATAGAAAATAAATCTACAGAAGTCATCGCACAAGATGTCAACGGCAACAGATACACCGTGAGTGACAGCATTTTGTAGGGGTGACACGTTATACCGCAGTATTAGTAGAACCGCGGTATTTTGCCTTCGGTTCGGTATACCGTAATGCAATCCAAAAATCAGTATTTTCGGTTTTCGTACCGTCATTTCTATCTAGTCATAAAATGACAGTTTTGTTCATTCAAAATAACAAAGATTATGGCTATTTATTATCCATGTTATATTTATTAAACAATGTAAGGTTTTTCTCTTGTTGTTGTAAATTTTCTGCATTATGAGCATATCTCATATACCGAACCGAAACGGACCGAACTGAAGGCCTTGTACCACTATATGAACTGTACTGTGGTAAGAGTGTATTTGATGGTGATCAGTTGATACACAACACTTATTAAAATTTCTGAACAATCTGACCCATAATTAAGTATAAAACTGGAATATTGCAACTAACAAACAAAAAGCAATAAATACAGTTTAAGTCTGTTGTGTCATAGTTAAAGAACCTACGTAAATAATTCAAGATATCTGAGTTTGACAGGGCAGTGAGGTAGCCAAGTGGTTAAAGTGTTCACCTGTCACGCCGAAGACCCGGGTTCAATTCCCCTCATGGGCACCATGTATGAATCCTATTTCTGGTGTCCCCTGCCGTGATAATTCTGGAACATTGCTACAAGCGGCATAAAACCCAACTCACTCGTTCACTTACTTCTTGGGACCGCCTCCGTGGTGTAGTGGTTAGAGCGTCTGCCCGGAGAACGGAAGGTCACGGGTTCGATCCCCCGACCGCGTCCTACCAAAAGACGTTAAAATATGGTACTTGTTGGTCCCTGCCTGGCGCTCGGCATTAATAGGTACAACAAGGACTGGTTGGCTCGGAGTGTCTGAGTGGGGTATTCATGCTTCACTGCGGCATGGTATCTCAGTGGGCTAGCAATATAAAACCAGCTTCAGTCTGGGCTAGTGCAAGTAGCCGCACACACACATACACACGCATGCACGTTGTCATATGAGCGAAATATTCTCAAGCACGACGTTAAACCCAATTTCACCTCACCTCACTTACTTCTTGTTGAACTGTTTATAACATGTTTTTCTTCCTGGCAGGCGAAGTATTTGATCGTGGCATCCCCCTTGCCCATCCAGAATAAGATCATCTATGACCCGCCATTGCCAAGTCGACGTAACCAGATGCTGCAGAGGGCGCGCCGATGGGATCGGTCATCAAAACATTCATGTACTACAGCACACCATTCTGGAGACGGAAAGGTTAGTACTCTGAACATTATTTAAAAGACAAGTTAAATCAAAAGGATCAGATGTGCTTCTAGTAACCGGCACTGACCAGAAATGCAGTCTGCAGGGATTTACGCGAATTCCTGCATCCTTTACACATAAAACTTGACAATGGACGCAACAAAATTTATTAGTGCATCCACAGATACTCAGAAAAAGTCCAAATACTTTTTGTAAAAATTCCAATAAAGTGACAGTAAGTTATCAGTGAGTTTGCTATTAGCTGGGTTATGGTATTATTTGCAATTCAATTACTGTAACAATGTGATGATCATGATACACAATACAATAACAGTATCAATAATAATATCTATATGTCTGGGACCCTCATTTTGTAGTCCAGGGCCTAGATTTTCGAAGCTCTCTTATCGCTAAGATAGTCGTAAGTGCCATACATTAACATTAACTTACAACTATCTTAGCACTAAAAGAGCTTCGAAAATCTAGGCCCTGGACCCCTGAAAATTAAGAGTATGAGTCCCAGGGACCCTCAAATACAGGACTCAAGGTAAATCCCTGAGTCTGTCAGTAGATATCGTGCATATATATCACTTCAGATTAAGAAAACCAATACCTTTGAAATTAATATCATGCATCAACATGCTGATGTCATCATGTATAAAGCTTTAACTTGTGGATGGTGAATGTGTGGATGGATCTCTCTCTATCTTTCTCTCTCCCTCCTTCGATTTCTCTCTCTCTTGCTCTCTCGATCTCTCAAGCAAGTAGTCAAGTGAGTCCATTTGATTTACAAAACATAACCCATGGATTATCTCTTGTCGTACCCTGTCAGTGACAGGCAGACAGACAGATAGACAGACAAAAAGACACTGACTGACTGACTGACTGATTGAGTCAGCCAGTCACTCACTCACTCACTCACCAAGTACTCAAGTCAGTCCACAGTACTTTTGACAAAACAAGGATTATCCCTTGTCCAACCCTGTCAGTTACTCATACAGACAGGCAGACAGACAGACAGAAAGACACTGACTGACTGACTGACTGATTGAGTCAGCCAGTGACTCACTCACTCACTCACTCACTCACTCACCAAGTCAGTCCACAAAACAAGGATTATCCCTTGTCCAACCCTGTCAGTTACTCATACAGACAGACAGACAGACAGACAGACAGACACTGACTGACTGACTGATTGAGTCAGCCAGTGACTCACTCACTCACCAAGTCAGTCCACAGTACTTTTGACAAAACAAGGATTATCCCTTGTCCAACCCTGTCAGTTACTCATACAGACAGACAGACAGACACTGACTGATTGAGTCAGCCAGTGACTCACTCACTTACAGACAGACAGAAAGACAGACACTGACTGACTGACTGATTGAGTCAGCCAGTGACTCACTCACTCACTCACTCACCAAGTCAGTCCACAGTACTTTTGACAAAACAAGGATTATCCCTTGTCCAACCCTGTCAGTTACTCATACAGACAGACAGACAGACACTGACTGACTGACTGATTGAGTCAGCCAGTGACTCACTCACTCACTCACTCACCAAGTCAGTCCACAGTACTTTTGACAAAACAAGGATTATCCCTTGTCCAACCCTGTCAGTTACTCATACAGACAGACAGACAGACACTGACTGACTGACTGATTGAGTCAGCCAGTGACTCACTCACTCACTCACTCACCAAGTCAGTCCACAGTACTTTTGACAAAACAAGGATTATCCCTTGTCCAACCCTGTCAGTTACTCATACAGACAGACAGACAGACAGACACTCTAGATCCCTTATGTTGGAGTTTCTTGTTTCAGGTCTGTGTGGGTCATCAGCTATCGATGACGAGGAGGGGCTGGTGGGGTTCACCCTGGATCACGTCATGCCAGATGGATCACACCCAGCTCTAATGGGGTAAGGCACATCACGGCATGTGCACACGGCAATCTCTGCTTCCCGTCACTTGTGAACCAGTGTTATGATTAGGGGTGACTATTGAGGGGAAAACAACTATTGCGACCAACTATTGCAATACTATTGCAATAGTTTTTTTCTCTCCTTGAATTGTCTCATTTGAAGTCATTTCCCAAATGAATGTATAGTTTATATGAAATAAAAACAAGTTGTTTCAGTCTCTTTTAATAACTGGCCAGAAACTTGAAACCCAGATCAAGTAAAAACAGTTAACAGGTAAGAGGGTGTATAACTCAAAATCAAAGTGAACGAATCTGGTACTTCCTGTATTTTGCGCTGTGCATTTATCAACGGAAGTCAATTACTAAACTATCGATAGTCACACCTACTATCGATGCATCGATAGTTTTTTGTTTCTACCATCGATTAATTGCTATTGGAGACTCAACAATTGCAATCCATCGATAGTTTGATGCATAGTGACAGCACTAGTTAATATAATGGAGTTATGACATTTGTTGAGCTACAATCCCTTTGAGAAACTTGGGCCTGCAGTTGTTTAATTCCTATCCAAATATTTCCAGACTTCATGCCACTTCAAAGCAATGACAGTTCCTTACAAATTTGTCTTTCATTAATGCTGCTTGTTGCATTTAATGCTTTACAGAAACTGTTTTAGACAATGGACTCAAGATTCCCCCTTTTCAAATGTACAAAATACTTATCGAATGAAGAATCTCATATATTCATGAGAGTATGGGAATACTGGTAGTACATAATATTCTTTTCTGCTAATGTTCTTAAACTTCATTTTAGGTCAGAAGTGCATGATTCTGCTAGCCCAAGCTTTTGCATTGGACTTATGTGTATATATCTGGTCAGTTATCTATATTACCTGAGGGGTTGGTGGGGTAGCCTAGTGGTTAAAGCGTTGCTCGCCCGAAGATCCGGGTTTGAATCCCCACATGGGTACAATGTGTGAAGCCCATTTCTGGTGTTCCCCGCTGTGATGTTGCTGGAATATTGCTAAAAGCGGCGTAAAACCAAACTCAGTCAGTCAGTCAGTATTACCTGAAATTACTGGACAGAATATTTTTTCTGAATTTGCAGACAGGTTCTGTAATTTTAGCGTCAGTAAAGAGGGAATGGAGAAACAGATTTCAAGATCTCGTTTTAAATACTTTGAATGTAACGTTTTGTTACACATAGTAGTACTGTCTATCAATCAATTTTCCTTCTGACTTTGCAATACTCCACGACCACTAAGATATGAATTATCGGTGGATTGTTTGTCCAGGTTCATCTTGGCTGACAAGGCAAGGAGGTACGTGGAGTTGACGCCGGAGGAACGGAAATCCAGAATAGCTCACTTATACTCCAAAGTCTTTCAAACTGATGAGGCATTGCATGTAAGTGGTTTTTGTTTAGTATGCACATTTCTTGCAAATGTCACAATGCATTTCAGAATATTTGAATGAGGAATATTTTTGTTTAATCTATTCAATAGATTGTATAGATTTAAATTTCGTTTAGCAAATTTCCACCATATACATATTAGTAGTAGCACACAAGTTCAGTTTTGCCTGTTCAGTGCTTTGAGAAATCTGGTCCTAATTCCAGATGTAGTCTGTGCACGATCAGAAGGGCTTACCCATGAAGATCCGGGTTAGAACTGGTCTTAAGTTGTAAGAGGCGACTGATGGGATCGGGCGTCAGGCTCGCTAACTTGGTTGACACATGTCATCAAATCCCAATTGTGTTGATCAATGCTTATACTCTTAATCACAATATTATCTGGTCCAGATTAGATTACTTTCGGACCGCCGTCTTATAGCTGGAATATTGTTGAGTGCGGCATTATACATCAAACAAACAAAACAATGTACAAAGCGATCTTAGCACTAAGATGACCATAACTAGCTGCAGTATAGTAACTATGTAGCATCTGTGACATAGCATATTGTGCATTATTAGTAAAGGATCTATGTATTATGAGAAGGACTGGGTAGGGCAAATGTTACACATCTTATATTGCTTATATTACTTAGCTGTATTTAGTAACTATGTATCTATTTGTCACATAGCCTGTGCATTATGAGGAGAAGGACTGGCTAGGGGAGCAGTGGTCCGGGGGATGTTACACCACCATGATGCCTCCTGGGTACCTCACCAAGTTCGGCAGGTGAGTACATCCGATAAGTACGCCAGGAAGACTTTGTTCTTTTCTATAGTATTCTACATTATCAACAGTCCTGGGCCTCGTTTCACAAAGCTCTCATAAGCCTAAGATCTCAGTAACATTTCTCGTAGCATTCAAATCTCCTATGCTGTAACATAGGAGGTGCATAATGCTGAGAAAAAGTTACTTAGATCTTAGACTTTACTTTGGAGAAACGGGCCCTGAAGTGGACCCTCTATTTTTCTGTTACTTATGTGTAGTTGCCCCATTCTGATGATCTAAAACAGCTGTGAAGTCCTTACTTTTTTCATCAGTTTATTTTTTTCTCAGTGAAAAGTTGCGAGTGAGTGAGTGACTTAGGTTTGACTCTGCTTCGAACTGTGTACAAGTGATATCACAGTGTGTCAGCTTAATGTGGTTGGAAATACATGCAAGGTCTTTACTAATTTATTTAAACTCATAAACTTGGGCATGGTGTTGAATGTAATTGGTGGAACCCTGGGATTCAAACAGTAATAGATTTGTGGCATGCAAAGAGAAGCAACTATGCATAACAAATTGCGGTACCCGACATGACTGGGCCCTTTGTGTCCCTTTTTGATGAAGAATCATGATACTGTTTGGTACATCTGATAGAAAGAAAACATCCAAGTTCGCTGCCGTTTGCCCACTTGGGTCTGACGGGAAATCAAGATTGGTATAACAGGTTTAAAGTTTGGGCATGGTAGAAATTATTTTGACCAGAATTTAGAGGGTGTTGGCAAGCATCACATCACTTTTTTTATATATACTGTAATTCTTCAGTGATCTGAGGAAGCCCATCGGCAGGATGTACTTTGCTGGGACCGAGACGGCAACCAAGTGGTCCGGCTACATGGACGGCGCAGTGCAAGCTGGGGAGCGGGCTGCCAGAGAGGTAGGAGACGACTTTTAACTGCATCTTGTGGGATGCTGGTACATTATGTGTATTAACCTTAGAATGACAGCATGACTCTAGATCAGTGTATGTAACACACATCCTGTGTAATGGGAGAACATTATTTGTCCCAGAAGAACATCCTGTGAACAACTCATGCATCATGAGGAGCTTCACATGCAACGCTGAAACATCATGTGCAACGCTCAAACACAATGTCCAACAACTGAACATCATGTGCAACACACAAATATCCTGTGTGACAACTGAACATCACGTGCAACACACAAATATCGTTTGTGACAACTGAACATCATGTGCAACACACAAATATCCTGTGTGACAACTGAACATCACGTGCAACACACAAATATCGTTTGTGACAACTGAACATCATGTGCAACACACAAATATCCTGTGTGACAACTGAACATCCTGTGCAACACACAAATATCCTGTGTGACAACTGAACATCATGAGCAACACACAAATATCCTGTGTGACAACTGAACATCATGAGCAACACACAAATATCCTGTGTGACAACTGAACATCCTGTGCAACACTCATAAATCTTGTGTGACAAAGGAATATACTGTCCAATATTTGAAAATCATGTGCAACGCTAAGAAATACTATGTGACAGTGGAACATTATGTGCAACATTTGGACATCATGTGCAACTTAAACATCCTGTGTGACAATCCAACATCATATTCAACACGCGACAGTGGAACATTATCTGCAACATTTGAACATCATATTCAACACTCAAACATCCTGTGTAACAATCAAAGATCGTATTCAACACTCTAACATCACGTGCAACACTCGATCACTGGACCATCATTTGTCATTGTTGGTTGGTAATTGGGGGGTTGTAGCGGAATTGTCATTCATTTAATTTTTTGTCTACAATTGCCTGCAATTATTTTTGGTCTTTGTGGTTCACACTTTCCTGTCATGTTGTTAGTTGAAAAGTTCCCTATTTTCGCTAACTTCGTAACATGTGTTACATAATTTCTCCTAATGATGAACGCGAGACATGAACCAGTATGACGACCATGTTTATTCCATGATATGAAGGTACAGTGGAAACCTCCAAAGTAAAGACCGCTTAACGAAACAGACCGGATAAGTAAACACTTTTCTTTGGTCCCGGCTAATTTCTTCATTAATTATCACTATTAGAGTCTGGTTAACTAAACTCGGATAAGTAAACAATACTGCTTAACTAAACGTCTTCTCACGGTCCCTGGAAGTAAAGTACTTACCAAAAGAGACTGGATAACTAAATTAGCGATCACCACATAATCCGACATGAGGGGCAGTCGTGTCAGTCTCCAGTCAAACAAACATCCTACTTACAGCTCGCTGGCGTCATGCAGTTGACAATACGCTGACAACTGTACTTACAAATGTTATCTGTTATTCTGCTGTATACATATACATGCATATGGTTGTCATTTGCAGGTTTTGATAAGTTTAGATCAGTAAAATACCTGATAAGTAAACAATTTTGGCAAGTCCCTTGAAATTTTACTTATCAGGTTTCCACTGTACATTAGACTAGGAAGTGAAGTCATATGATATGAAACATGAACATGTGGAACTGGGAATTAGGAGATAAACATCGTGTGTTAGCCAATTTCCGGGTGTTATTGAGTATTTAAATCATGGGAATTCATTTGGGACCGACGGCGAATAATGAAATATTCCTGCGCTTCAGATATTCAATAACACCCAGAAATTGGCCAACACATGATGTTTATCGCATTATAAACACAAAAGTAAACCAAAAGGTCCACACAGGTGTCTGCACTCATTGACATCGGGTATGGGTACATCAGCGAAGTTTCATCAGCCACCGGTTTCGGCTGGTTCCCATGGTAGCATGTAGAATTGCATCTGCAGCATCTGGACTTAACGTGACAATATGATTTGAAATATGTCACCACAGCTGACGACGCAACAATACAATTGTGTGTGATATATGTACATGTCAATACACAGTGAATAGTCTTGCAATTTTCGGGAATCGAATACCATTCGATCATGTTTTTCAACCAATCAGATTACAGAACACAGTGACTTTTGGTTTACAATGAATTATGGATTCAAAGGAATAGTATGTTTTGGTTCAAAATGTGTCTGAGTTTATATAACATTCTGAACAACTATTTTGTTTTAATCTGATGGGTTGTAATAGCATGTCAGTTGTTGTCATCATTCTTTATATTTTGTTAGTTGTTTACTACTAGTAATATTATTTGAAACATGAACATGTGGAACTGTGAATTAGGAGATAAACATCATGTGTTAGCCAATTTCCGGTGTTATTGAGTATTTAAAGCATGGGAATTCATTTGGGACCGATGGCGAATAATGAAATATTCCCGCGCTTCAAATATTCAATAACACACAGAAATTGGCCAACACATGATGTTTATCGACATTATAAACACAAAAGTAAACCAAAAGGTCCACACACTGTGTCTGCACTCATTGACATCAAGTATGGGTACATCAGCAAAGTTTCATCAGCCGCCGATTTCGGCGGGTTCCCATGGTAGCATGTAGAATTGCATCTGCAGCATCTGGACTTAACGTGACAATATGATTTGAAATACGTCACCACAGCTGATGACGCAACAATACAATTGTGTGCGATATATAGAGAATCTCACCCAAGTGTCTTCTGATATCAATTATATCAACACAAGTTGATAAAGTTACAAATATCCGAGGCTTGCCGAGGATATTTTTACTTTATCAACGAGTGTTGATATATTGATATCAGAAAGATTCGAAATGAATTCTATTTATCATCCAGAATCACTCTTCATTAATTTTCAATGAAAATGTACACCTCTGAACATGGTACTGCCATTAGACTTGCAGTACAGCGATGTCATAGCATTGTTATGTCATCAAGTACATGACGTCATAGCATTGTCAGGGCATTGTACAAAATCTACTGTCAAAACGATATCTCCTAGGAGATATCGTTTGATCTCACACAAGCGATATCTCCTGTGGAACACAGTTTTGGATGATAAATGTACGTGTCAATACACAGTGAATAGTCTTGCAATTTTCAGGAATCGAATACCATTCGATCATGTTTTTCAACCAATCAGATTACAGCTCACAGTGCAGGGCTCCAGATAATTTTTCAACATCAGGAGTACGTACGTACTCCTTATATTTTCAACAGTGGAGTACTGGAAAACAATTAGGAGTACAAGTTGGACTTACAGAAGTATCAGTAATCTTGTGTTTCGTTCTTATATGCACCACAACATTGATCTCTTATCTAAACAGGTCAATAAACAATAAAACAATACTTAAAAAAAATTCGTCTCTAAATGATTCTAAGACCCTACACCATTGCTGTAGTGCGTATCTGCTACGTTTTCTAAAATTATTTCCTACTGTATCGTGCCTATTTTATATCCGTACATACGCCGATACGGCCCTTATCTGGAGCCCTGACAGTGACTTTTGGTTTACAATGAATTATGGATTCAAAGGAATAGTATGTTTTGGTTCAAAATGTGTCTGAGTTTATATAACATTCGGAACAACTATTGTGTTTTATTACCTACGAGGGCGAAAATATAGGGGTTCATATTTTTCATACGATGCCCTAGGGCAAAATATCACTTTGTTATGGTGGTGTGACGTCATGAACAATGCAATGACGTCACGTTTCTTCTGTGACTTTGCGTTCTACATGCGGCAGCGTAGCCAGCCTATGTTTGAAAGCAGATTTGGGTTTATTTTCAATTTGACAACTTCGGTAATAAACAGTGTTAGAAATAGATTCAAACTGTCACTAGCAGGTGGGGCTAATGGCCCAAATATGTCACTAGACCTTCAGATACCTTACTGGCCCGATTAATTCATGGTAATTTATAGACAATAAAACAGCACATATGAGAATAATTAGAATATTCATTTCACAAAATAATTGTTTCAAACTATTAACTCTGAGCCTCTGACATTGATGGGACACACTCTAAGAATACCCATATATTTTCAAATTATCTTCATATTAAATTATCTTACGGACTTCAGTCATCTAATCATTCCCAACGAAACTGCACAATTCAGAGAGGATAGTGAAAAAAACCAAAATCACTTCAGTCCAAAAAAAAGTTATTTTCCAAAACTACAACTTGTAAATGAACAGTCTGTACTTTTTCAGCACTCAGTGAACATTATTAAACTTGCAGCACTAGTTTGAAGTAAGGTACCTGTAAGCGCCCAAGTAATTTACATTCATGGGTAACTAGTAGTACCAACATAAACCACGAGAAAATGAACTCTTTTGTTCTTGTTTTGATTCAAACATCGAATAAAGAAACAATTAATACATCTGAAAAACATAAAAAATGTGTACTCAGTAAAGCATATGTCACACTGTTGACGCCACATAATACCTGTTCAAGATCCAGAATTGACTGAACCACGCATAGCACATTTACATTGTATCGAAGATTAAATCAGAAGCCTGAAAATAAAACGTTCCCTTTCAAGAAAACGCCATGGAATCATACCGGTACAAAATGGGAATGAATATATTTTGGCTTTACCATCTTACAGTTCTACTGCGTGACGTATATTATGTTGTAACTTACTTTCATGTTAAATTCAAAGACTGAATTTCGATCAAACTCCACAGATGACAAAAACAGTAAAAATCTTTGCTACAGATATGTAACATATTTCTGAAAACATGTCCGAGACAGTCGTGCAACATTGAGATATCTACAAGCAACAATTACACAGTGAGACATTGGAATAAAACATTTGTTTACTTTTGTATCTAACCTCATTTATGGTAAATCAAAGAACAATCTGTATAGTTGACAAAACGTACGCTTCAATTTCATCAACATGTTAAATCGTTTTATCATCTTAAGTAATGATTCCGAAAGAAATATTTGTATGAAATTTACCTAACACCTTTCGTAATTTACGTTAGGGTCAAAAAGTGGTATGATCGACAGTGGAATCCATAGAATGAGCATTGCTTTGCTCGCATGCAGAAATTCGGTTACCAACACGTGATTGTTGGTGTTTTGGGGTTTCCCGTGTAACGTCATGGACCATTTATAACTGTCAATTAAACGTAAATTACAAAACTTAAATTACATTTTGTTTATCTAAAGTGATCATCCGGGTTCTGAGGCTGTCTGTCTGCGTCAATGCTGTATTAAACTATAGAAGGAAATGTTGGTTCATAATGCCTCGTAGCAAAGTTACAATATCAATAACGGTCACGTATGATTACGTTCTTAAAAAATCGGTCTTTAAAACGAACATTACTGGTCTGTGTACAACTAACCTGTATCTCTCGTAGACATAACCTGCTTGTTGTCTAAACTATATCATTCATTTTTTGGTATTGTAACACTGTAAAATTATTGTCCTCCTGAGAGGGTACGTAAGTCCCAAAACATTCAAAGTAAATTTAAACTCTCCACTTTTTTAATCGTAGCATATGTGTATTTTTAATGTATGGTTAATTACATCTAAATTGCTAACAGCTGAAGGGATGATGTAAATCCAGCTAGGGCCCAAGCAGGAAGCTAATGTACTGCAAGTCCCCATGGCCCTAGTATGGTGGTCTACCTTCAGTTGCTGTTATCTATAGCCAGCTTTTATATTGTATTGTACTATATAGTATATGATTTTAAGTTCAATGCTAGTTTTAAATCTCTAACTGTGATATGCTAGTTGTTTACTGTCCTTTCGCGACAGATTTTATATTTTAACCAGGGGTTCAAACATCCCATTGCCCGACGCCCGGGACAAGTCAGTTTTCATTTCGGGGAATCAAATAATGGTATCTTACTTGTCCGTGGGCTGCTAGATAATTTCCACATATGGTTTCAAACTGCAAATAAACTTGGATTAAATTCCATATCTGCTCAAAATGTAGCTATTAAATTTCGCAATGATAAGGGCGGTGGGGTAGCCTAGTGGTTAAAGCGTTGGCTCGTCACGCCAAAGACCCGGGTTCGAATCCCCACATGGGTACAATGTGTGAAGCCCATTTCTGGTGTTCCCCACTGTGATGTTGCTGGAATATTGCTCAAAGCGGCGTAAAACCAAACTCAGTCAGTCAGTCGCAATGATAATAAAGTAGAGTTATCTTTCTTTGCTATTTATCACTTTTCAATAAATAGTCCAGTAAGCATTAACATCAAATACCATGTTGGTTTCTTCTTTCATAATTACATCATGATTATGTCATAAAAGCGGGGCAAGTGGAAAATTAGTCAGGACAAGTTACTTTCTTCAAGTCACTTGCCCAGTGGCAAGTGACTTTTTAAAAAGATTTTGAACCCCTGTTATAACATTATAAAGTAGTTACATATTAACTGTTTTAGTCACGATATGGCTGAAATATTGCCAAAGTGACTAAATTGTAACTCACACACTCACTCAATTTGATATTGTAACAGTTTCTAGTTTTTAGTTGTGGGTAATACAATCTGACCTAACGTAAATTACACGCGTGCTGTCGACAATTGTTTGTTGCTTACATTACAAGTTTGTATGTTTGCACAGGTGTACTTGATGGGGTTTTTTCATAAACAGTTCCTGATTGCTTTCAAAACTTAACTACATTTGACTTGTGGTAGCGGTGGTCATCTTAGAGGCAGCTTTTATTGACGGGAACGTCACTCACCGACACCAATAAAACCGTACCCCCTACCCATGTATGTCAATCCATACTAGGCATTTGTTTCAATGACGTGTTAAGTTTTCTATTCTTTACTTGTTATCATTAATGTATTTAAAGATCTAAAAGTGATTTTGGCCTCATGAATCGCATCTTGCAAACTCAACGACTGCAATTGTCCACTCTCACTGGGAATGATAGTCTGTCATACAGACCCTGAAGCAAATGTATCTAAGAAATCCCACGCAAGTCTAGAAAATGTGGCAAGTCTAAATTTCCACAGCTTCTGAAAATGAAGAAAGTCCCTGGGCTCCTTTTTATTGTATTTCCCGTCAGTGACACAATGTCAGGAAGTCGACTGACTTTACTTTGAGTGCTGGTCCATTGTGTACGAACAGGACACAGACATTAGGACTAAGCAGCATCTTCCGCACAGCAGTTACATGGAGCATTGTTCTTGTATCTGTTTATTCCTGGTTAGAGAACAGACTAGAAAAATGATTAGTCCCTGAAAATATATATAATTTTGATAGTAACAAATAAACCCATTTAAATTGAAAAGGAGTCCCAGTGAGCCCAGAGATTCAGGAACCTGAACCTGAGAAAATCTAGACTTGCTTCATTTAGAGCTTTAGTACTGCAGGGAGGGCTAGGCATTAGGGACAATAATGTGGTTCAGGGACTGTGAGACATACTAAACCCTCCTCAGCCGCCTGGGTTTTACTTTCAACCAGTGGTGAATGGCTTCATTGGGGTCATACTCTGGCACTTCAGAATCTGACCAATGACGTTACTGCTTACGATTTAGATAGTTATTTGTAACAACGTGCATTTGACTATTTGTTTGTGTTTTTGAGGACATGATCAGCTCCTAAATTATCACTAGCCAGGCGGGCCAGCTTCAGCAACTTTTGACAGGCCCGAGCAAAGGTCAACTAGCATTTTGCTAGCGGGCAGGCACTTATTTCGAACACTGGCAATACACAGAATATTATATTTGTATCTGTATCATACTATGTTTACAACACTCGTGCCTAAATATCGGTATATCCCTCGCTCTCGCTCAGGAAATACCAACATTTAGGCACTCGTGTCGTAAACATTGTACGACATGGGCACTCATATAATATCCTATATTTATTCTGATGGGTTGTAATAACATGTCAGTTGTTGTCATCATTCTTAATATTTTGTTAGTTGTTTACTACTAGTTATATTCAAAGCCTGAAATGAATGACATCTGTTGTAAAATTTACGGCAGCAATGTGTGAGAGACAGTGCTGGTTCATCAGGTAGCTTGTCCTAGTGTCAACTTGAATACTGTTGGCTCATGTTGAATGACAGGCTTAGTTATGTTTCACACATAGACAATTAATTGCTTGTGGGGGCGGTGGGGTAGACTTGTGGTTAAGGCGTTCAATCGTCATGCCAAAGACATGGGTTTGATTCCCTACGTGGGTACAATGTGTAAAGCCCATTTCTGGTGTACCCCGCCGTGATATCGAAGGAATATTGCTAAAAGTGACATAAAGTAAACTCACTCACTGTTTATGATATTCAATGTTGAACAATGTAACCCTAGAGCATCGTGTAGGCACAAGAACAGGTACAACACCAGAACATCATGCGTAACTCTAGCATATCATGTTCGGAGCAATGTAACCCTAGAGCATCGTGTAGGCACAAGAACAGGTACAACACCAGAACATCATGCGTAACTCTAGCATATCATGTTACAGAGCAATGTAACTCTAGAGCATCGTGTAGGCACAAGAACAGGTACAACACCAGAACATCATGCGTAACTCTAGCATATCATGTACAGAGCAATGTAACCCTAGAGCATCGTGTAGGCACAAGAACAGGTACAACACCAGAACATCGTGCGTAACTCTAGCATATCATGTTCGGACAATGCAAACCTAGAGAATTTGTCCATGTATCTCGTTTCATTTTCATGCTGTATCCCTTTCTGTTCCCAGATTCTCCACACCATGGGCAAAATCAGGGCTGACCAAATCTGGCAGACAGAGCCAGAAGATGCGGTAAGATGTTCATCTATTGGTTGAGTATACAGCACTGCTCTCAGCAATATTCCAACAACATGATGGCAAGATATTTGATAGATAGCTTCTTTTTTTATGGATCATTAAGCTTCTTGTTTCTAGTGGTTTTGGCTTGTCAGCGGAGACCAGCGTACAATGTGTGGATCATGTCCCCACGGGATATTGCTGGAATATTGCTAAAAGCGGCGTAAAACCAAACTCAGTCAGTCAGTCTAAATGCCGCTAAAAGACATTCTACCATGACTACGTGAAATACTCAAATTTGATTAGACAAACAATAAAATTAGACACTATCCATCCTGGATTGAAAATGCGTCACCGCTTCACTGCGCACGTGTACAACACTGCCGCACAACTTCAGCTTGACCACCAACATGGCTAATATCAACACAACAGACGTGATGGAAATGCTTATAAAACATTTATTAAACTCGAAAAAAAACAATTATATGATTTTTCCTCCACAATTATTAGGGAACCTCACTATCACATTACCTTGTATTATAAAAATATTAAAATTCAATTACAATGCACAGCCCCAAACATAAACAAACAATATCTAACTCATAAATCAGAAAGCCTTGTAAAAATACATCCCTATCTATACAAAATTTGCAGCAAAATGTTACGTTGAGGGTACAGTAACACATGATGGCAGCCTGTAAATAATCAAGTCTGGACCAAGCAATCCAGTGTTTTAACAACCTTAGCGGTAAGACAAACTTATATCTATGTTAAGATTTAAGATCACTTTGTACAATGGCACCCATGTGCCAAGACCTTTTAGATCACCTCACTGGAAATGAAAGTCATAGTCTGTTTACTTGGCATCTCAAAAACCACATCTCCCATAATGATGAAACTTTACATACTTCTTCCTGTCAATGTTGACAACAGAATTTGTTCAAGAGATTAATTCATCAATTTGGCTACTGACGGCAACTAATTGGCTATTTTGTTGACATTTCAAACTATTTCAAAGTAAAGTGCTGTAGCACTTTAGTAAACATCATTTATGATGAACACACTTATAATTAACGGATAAAACAAACTGTTTTGTTTTTAACCTGACCACTTGCTGTATAGGTTAGTCAAAATGCTCATAACGAACGACCATTATAACGAACTACCATTATAACTAGGGGTGGGTATTGCAGATAATTTTCATATTGCAATGCGAAAGCATATATTGCGATATGTATTGCAAGAAGTGTTTTTTAACAAAAACTACTTATAATCGAGTTAATGCTTGATTTATGAAAGCAAAAACACAACAAAATCACTATGCTTGATTAAGCTTTAATAAAAACTTTTAATCATGACAAAATAAAATGTAAATAATATTTGGCACAAATGAAACAAGGAAATATCCGAAGATTTCCGAGTGTTACAAAGTTTTGCGAATGCATGTCAAAATACAGGTTTTCGATCAGCGTATCGCAATAGGTTCCCACCCTGTGTCCTCCCCGCGAATTTATCCTTAGATGTCATTGATGTGTTGTTTTTTAGAAAAATTATGAAGGGTTCTAGGAGAACAATACAGTGACGTCAGGATCAAGGGAGATAACTCAGGGGTAGATTAGGTATACCACTAGGAATAGCTATGACTTAGTGTTAAAATTTCTTTTGATTTTCTGTATGTATTCTGTGAATCCACAGGAATAAGGCTACCATAATCCAGAGGGAATGTTTACGTTATAATTAGGCGACTATGCTTGTCATAAGAGGCGACTAACGGGATCGGGTGGTCAGGCTTGCTGACTTGGTTGACACATGTCATTGGTTCCCAATTGAGCAGATTGATGCTCATGCTGTTGATCACTGGTTTGTCTGGTCCAGACTCCTTTATTTACAGACCACCGCCATATAGCTGGAATATTGCTGAGTGTGCGTAAAACCAAAGTCACTCACTCACTCATTATATTATCATTCACTTATTTTTATATTTCATTAATTTACTTATCCCTACTTATTCCAAATTGGCTTATCTCAAAATCATTACTATATTTGAAACTTTAACTAAAGTCCCAGTTTTTACTTGGATGTCCATATCCATTCAAAATTTTATTCCCTCACTCATGGCTTTAAATATGGCATCCATGTTGGCGACATCAACTTAACAGTCGGAAGCAGACATAAACATCAACACAACAGCAACCCAACACAATATCTATATCAAATGCTGTATCATCTATCATTCCACTATATTGCCTTATTCTATATTCAAAAGACAAGGTTTTAAAAGGGGTATACTTGGGCCATGGAATTGTCTGACACATGTTTCATTCACCAAAAGTGATTATGGATTAGTAAACAAGCTTATGTAAATAATGTTCCACTACATTATACATAAATACAACAAATATTAGATTAGAGAATTCCCCCCTTTTGATATAGGAACAAGGGTGGGGAAGAAGTGGCCTAGCTAGTCCAGAATCTCCCCCCTTTTCATAGAAAACAGAATGAAAAAATACTAGTTTAAATAAGGGGGAAACTTTGGCCTGGGGGGGAAAGTTTGGCCTAGGCCAAACTTTCCCTGGGTAAGAATATCCTAGGACAAAACTTCCCCGGGGAAAGTTTGGCCTAGGCCAGATTCTCCCCGGGGAAACTTTAGACCGGCGAAGAAATTGCCTGCTAAACCGGTAAACCGGTTATATTGCACAACCCTAATGATAATGGACTACTGTTATAATGAACTACTGTAAAAATGAACTAAACAAGACACCCCTGAGTTCGTGATAACCTTAGTTTACTGCATTTGTAGACATATTTGTTTGTTATTTAACGATGCACTCAGCAATATTCCAGCTATGTGGTGGCGGTCTGCAAATAATTGAGTCGGTATCGGACAATCCAGTGATCAACAGCATGAGCATCAATGTATACAATTGGGAGGATTTATAAACAAATTCATCAAACATAACTGAAGAAATCTGTCATTTTTTCTTTTCCAGGAAGTGAAACCACGGCCATTCGACAGCTCCTTCTGGGAAAGAAATGCTCCATCAGTCCCTGGGTTGTTGAAACTTCTCGGCGTGACAACACTGTTATCAGCCGCAGGGGCTGGAGGATATGCGTATCACAAATACTTCCGATAAACCAACAACAATGTGGTCGAATCTACCCATCGAAGCAAAACTGAACTGTCATCACACCTCAGATACAGCCGAATCAGGGATGGATGCCACGTCCAAGCCATCCGATATTGATTATTAGTCTTCAGGAAAGTACAACCTAACGAATTCTACAATATTTTTAGACTTGTCTTACATTACCATCAGGAAGTTGATCATTTACACTCGTTGCCACTCGCCCCGTTCCATAACCAGTCTGCAAGAAGACTCGTCCCCCTCCTATTGAAGAAAGCTATGTATTATGTATGTAATAATTGACCAACCAATCAGAATGTGTGTATGATTGCAAGTACTTCAGTCAAAGAATCCTTTTGGAATTTTTGTATTTTACACATATTGTGTACATGTATCTAAAATCATCCCTAAAATACAGTTGTGCTTGATCATACTGTTTATCAGTACAAGTGAGATGTGTTTTAGAAAGCAGGTGTAATATTTATGATATCTGGGGAAATATATGTGAAACATTACACGAGTTCACAAATCTTTTAGCTATACCTGTTTGAGCTCAGATTGAACCCGTCACAAAAATAGTCGTAAAAAAATATGGAGTTGCTATTTGGGTTGTCTCGGAAAAATATGAGTTGGTCGCGAAAGTAACTTGGACTAACAATATAACTAGAAGCGTTTGTTTGTATGACATTCAGCTGGGCCATGTATCACTTTGTCATGTTTATTTGCCAAAATATCATTGACCTGCCTCACTATTTGAAAACATATGTTAATGTAAACTTGCTATTATCAGCTCTGATATAATCTGACTTATATTTCAAGGGTTGAAATGGACTTCCATTAATCCATAGTACAGTAACATAAAAATCAGTGCATCAGTGCAAATATCCATCAATGTAAAATTATTAAACAATAAAATTTAGATTAAAGCCAAAACAAACAAATATTTTGGTTTCCTATTTCTGAACCTCCCCAAATTTGGTAGATAAGATTACATTTTTACCTTTTGTGTTTTGTTTGTGCACACATTTAATAATCCAATTCAGTTTAGTAAATACATACAAGAGTAAGTTGGAGATCCTGAGGAAACAGGTTTTGGTTTAGGAGCTCCAAATTGGGTGTGAGGGTTCCGGATGTGGGTCACCAATTCCAAATTAAGTTTGGGATTTCTGGAGTTGGGTAGGACCTCCAGGGTTGGGGGTTCGAGATTAAGGGTGGGGATAACAGATTAAGTTCAGGATTTACAGAGTAAGTTCAGGGTTGGTGACTCCAGATAAGAATAATTCTGGAGACACTCATGTTCTTTTGTCGAATGCTTATACTTCGAGGAGCAAGATCAGATTTGGAATTTTTAAAAATAATAGTTCTATTTGATAGGAATACAAATCACCATCTTTAACATACCATGCACTAAATTCAAGAACTAAAGCGTCTTCTGAATGATTTCACTTCACACAGTTACTGGCTGAAATGAAGATGAGATTCATCTGAACATAATAAGAGAATCTCAGTCTCAAATAGAAACAGGCCTGCCTCATTGGAATAGCTTTGATGTGTTCACATGTCTTTATTAAACGAAGCCAAAATATGTAAAATGTCTGTCCCTCTTCATACAAGATCCTGGATTTCAAAACACTTTTACAAGATTTGCAGATGAAACTTGACTCGTCTCCTTTTAAAAAAACTTTACCCAAAATCAGCTTATTTGACTTTGTGTTTGAGACTAAAAGCTTTTCTGGAGCTATAGTCTTTCTAGGATAAAACAAATGTATTGTTTAAGATAAAACAAGTTTATTGTTTTTCAAACAACTGTTGGAACCTGTTTTTATGATTTCTTAAGAAGATGCAATCAGTTTTACTTCCCTTAAAATCTTAAAACCCATAGTTGTTTTAATATCACTGTACAGAAAATCCAGAATAGACATTTTCAATGAATTGTTACACAGTAGAATATTTTTGTAACTTTTCTAAATTTTGTACCGCAAAAATAGGAAAGACTAGCTCATCTTCAGGTTGTGCTGTATTCAACTGTCCATGTTCATAGATATATTGATATTTTAAAGTTTGAGAATTTCACATTTGAATGTTGTTGCGTGTATTTTATGTATTGTTTTAGCAAAGTATAGACATTGTTGACTGTTGTTTATGAAAATCACTTTATGAAACACCTCATTATTTGCTTGAAAGAATATGTTGTTTCTTTATTCATAAAGATGTGGTATCAGGTCAAAGGTGGTTGGAGAAATAGATTTTCACCAGTTAGCCAAATTAATTGAGAAGATGGGGATGATGGGATGAATGTTCAGTTCAGTTTTATGACAAGTAGTATTTAGTTTCAGCATAAAAAGATGTTCTGATGTTATTTTTCAGAAACTTTATAACGCAGGTTATCCCAGATGCTTCAATTTGTATTTGTTTCTTGTTTGTTTTGTGTTGAAATCCAGCTGCATTTTAGTGGTCTGTAAATAATCCAATCTGGACCAGACAATCCAGTGATTGACGAGAGCATCATTCTACGAAACTTGACATGAATCAGCGTGCCTGACCAACCGATCACATTAGTCACCTTATAACAAGCAAGGGTTACCGAAGACTAAACCCAGAACTTTACAGATGCTCCACACAGTAAAGAAGATAGCTTAATGTGTAGCATTATTTTGATCTCAATCCAAGTGTAAATCCTATCATTAACACTCTGGCCAGGATAAAATAAAATATCTTTGGATTCTGCAAAAATTAAACCTGATGTAACGACGTCTTTGATAGGCATTTTTAGAAGTGTGACAATTACGACTGCTAGTTGATATCTGTCTCGATTCACATCTACTTTTTGTTCAGGAAGTCACGTCAGTGATGAAAGTGGTCAGAATAAAGTTATGTTTGTGTACAAAATGGATTGTAAAGTAATTACCTTACTTATTCAGAATCTATGAAATCCAATCACAACTTTTATAGTATTACAATGGTTACCTGAAAATTACACTGATGCCTTTTCTGTCATCTGTAAAATTTTGTTCACTAAATCAGTAAATAAATCAATCTTAAGAATGCCTGTTACCATGGTAACTGCTTATTTAAGTTTCATTTGTATGAGATATGGGGTACCTGGAGGTTGCAGCATGGTTTTGATAACTTTCTTTGAAGGACAACTAGATCTAGAGAAATTATTTTGTAGACTTAGCAAATTTGTTACATTAAATTTACTTTGGAAATAAACGTTATTTCACCTTGAATCAGCTTGTTTCTTCTATTTCAATACACTTGGTTGGTTGGTTTGTTGTTTAAGACCTCACTCAGCAATATTCCAGCTATATGGCAGTGGTCTGTAAATAATTGAGTCTGAACCAGACAATCCAGTGATCAACATGAGCATCCATCTACACAATGCGGAAGATGGTTTGAGATGTATTGATCTGCATGGGTTGTTTTTGTGTACACGGTGGTTTGATGGCATCATCTGAATATCAACCAGATGAGCGAAGAGTGAGTGAGTGAGTATGGTTTTACGCCGCTTTTAGCAATATTCCAGCAATATCACGGTGGGGGACACCAGAAATGGGTTTCACATATTGTACCCATGTGGGGAATCGAACCCGGGTCTTAAATGAGCGAAGAACATATCAACATATCTACAAGAAATTGAACACCGGAAGAAAGTTTTTGTAGAACTACACCATTATCCAGTCCAAATAGTCAACAGAACCATTGCAGCAACTATCACCCTCCTGAAACAAACAGTCCAGCCTCAAAAACCTTCTCCATGATAATGGAAGAAAATAACCGTTAACGTCAAAGATCCCGACAGCGAAATGTGTTATATATAAACTGATGTCAAAAACCCTTTAAAACTGATTGAAGTCGACCTGGAGTAAAAAAACTACACAAGATAGACGCATATGAAATCAAATTTATTGACCTCAAAAGATGACATGTCAAGAAAATAACAGAACACTGGAACATAAACTGATGTAAAGAACAGATGAAGTCGACAGTAAAAACTACACAAGATAGGCTTTTCAAATTTTTGAAAAGATGACGATTTATTCAACAAACACTGGAGCACCGCGGTGACCATACACTGCATACAACATTGTTGCGTTTTTTTTGGGCTATGTATTTCACATTAAATTTGTTTCACCTAGTTTTTCAGATTCGATATTTTTAGGTTTGAGAGTTGTATAGTTTTTTTGGGACATCAGTTTATAATAAACTGATTGTGGACAGGAGTTATATCGCCGAAGAACCTGAGCCATCAAGAATGAAAGATAATCATATTTCCTTGACTATTTCGACAACATATCAGTCATCTCTGTTGCATCAAATCAAACCCTAGTCATCACAACTTCAATGACATCACCATTGCTAACAATCAAACTGACTTCAGCTAACGCCAACTTACTGAATCATCGAAAACCCACCATTAAACTTGATCAAGGATATTTCATCCAATCAACCTACAATGCTCAGAAAAATGTTCCACGGAAACCTACCATCCAGTTCACAGACAAGTTCAATTTGCCACTTGTGCCATGCCTGATAATCAGAGATGCCAACCCTAATTTAGCCCAATTAGTATTTTGCCCAAAACCCGATGCAAAAATTAGTATTAACCTTTCCAAAGAATTTTCATATTTAACAAAGAATATTGGAAATTTTAACTATAAATTGTATATTTATAGTATGACCAGAAATTATTGAGAATTTTAGGAATATGTTTAATTGGATTTCTAGTATAGAACAACCTTGACCAGCTATCAAGTGCTTGGTTTCATTCAAGAGAGACAACTCCGTTAATCCTTTTTCATTAGTTTGTGAAGAGTTATCCCCCTTTGTTTACTTGCTAGCAGACGACATTTTCAGTGATCCTCAGTATGGATGATTTAGAGAAGAGGAAGTTGATTTTAGAGTATTATAAGAAGGACATCAGATCAGCTAAAGTGATTTCAAGTAGAACAGGCATCCCTTTGTCCACTGTTTATCGTGTTTTGAAAAATATTGCAAATGGATATGGCATTGAGCACCAGGGAGGCGCAGGTAGGCCCAGAAAATTGACTGTCGGTGACAGGGAGGCTGCTTGGTATTCTTGTTTCTAAAAACAAACGAAGGAGTTTAGAAAACTTAAGGCTGGATATGATTGATAGAGGAACTGTGGCTGTCTGTAAGGAGACAATTAGAACTGAGCTGCATGCAATGGGTTGGCAGAAAAGTTGAGGAATTCCATCACTGATCATGAAACCTGAACAAAAGGAGCGAAGGTTGAACTGGTGCTTACAGCATAGAAATTTTAACTGGGACAATGTGATTTTCTCAGATGAAAGTTCTGTGTGGCTGTTTCCTAATACACTGAAATTCTGGACCAAACAAACTGAAAAACCTTTGTATCAACGGCCAAAGTACAGTCCGAAATTTAACGTGTGGGGTGGCATATCTGTGTTGGGGGCAACGCCCCTCTGTGTGTTTGATTTCTATGGAAATTTTTGGATTTTCCAGCAGGACAACGACCCAAAACATCGTTCAAAGCATTCACAGGCCTGGTTTCGGACCCAAAATATGACATTATTAGATTGGCCAAGCTATAGCCCTGACCTAAATCCAATAGAAAATGTTTGGGGACTTATGAAGGAAAGTGTCAATAAGAAAAATCTGACAAATATTGCTGAAATGAAAGAAGAGGTGGTCCGATATTGGGACAGCATGGACCACGACTTTCTAACTTCTTTAATAAGTAAGTATGCCCCGCCGCATTGAAGCCTGCATTGCTGCCCATGGTGACTTGACAAAATACTAACTGTTCACCTGTCTTTGAATCTGAAGTTATGTTCTGCTAATATTCACATTTAATACGTGAGTAATGAGTGAAAAAAATAATTTTTTTACAATCTTTAAATTCTCAATAATTTCTGGTTGTACTGTATATACTTATCCTATCTCACGACTTGCAACTCTCTCTCTTCATTTGACCATGAGTGGAAACGAATTTAACTTTGCTCCAGGCCTTCCTTGTCCCTGTCCCCGTGCTGTGCATGCCTTCCTGCCTTAGCCATGCTCACTAGTCCGTGACAGCACGTGGCATGCGCAGTCCTCACCCACGTGATCACCTTCCATACTCATTCTCGATTTTGGAGCCATAAAAGGACAAAACTGGAACAGTGGTAATCTAAGTAGTGGGGAGGTAGGGTGGGACTTTATCGCGTGAGATAGGATAAGTATATAAATATACAATTGATAGTTAAAATTTCCAAATTTTTAAACTTATCCTATCTCACGACTTGCACTTATCCCATGGTTGGAAGGTGTGTCATAGATTACCCGAAGTTCAAGTGATAACAGCTAAGCGTTATGTCGAAACAACCGTAGGAAACAACTACAAGGCAGGCCAATAACTACCAAAGTTACTACGTGCGAGGGTTAGTTCGAACCCATAGACTTACTAAGCACAAATGCTCCCAGGGACCGGGATTCCCGAGCAATGTGGTGTTCAGTCAATACCTTTACGAAAGTGAAAGGACGCAGCTTAGCGAGTGTAATCAGTCGCATCGCCAAGATTTCCAAGGTACTCCCGTAATAAAAGTCTAACGACTAGTATCGGGCCAGCCCCTGCTTCGAAACAACCCCCACAGACACCGTCCCGTGGAGGGTGAAAGGGTAATTGAATCGGAAAAACTTGCAATTTTAACGTTCAGTACCACAACATCATCTTATGACTTCCACTTCTTACCACAGTAAGATCACATAGATGTGTATAGGTACTTAGGAGCATGAACGCTACGAAGTGTAACACTTCGAGAAGGACTCACTTCACTGACGTAATTACTCCGTGGAGCAGAGGACAGTAAGTGAGGTGGCGACTCTCCAGAGTCTCAAAATAAAATGAGAGGAGAAATCTAAATCCCGGAAGAATCAAAGACGCAAAACAGAAATAAGTTTCAGATTTATTCAGATTGTACACAAGCAGAAACGATAGCGACTGGTGATCATCTGCGCTAATGGGTATCCATATAGCATCGTAGCACAAGGAAATTCATAATCTGTGATGTTGTGCCGCTGACAACTGTTGGGCAAGGATGAGTGGTCCAAACTGATGAAGGCCTTGAATATCCATCACCGACACATCTCTGTGGTAATGAGACGAAAATACAGTGTCAGAACGCCCAAAACAACCCTCCATTATAGCAGTTAACGAGCAGTTACTATGCAACGACATAGTAGAAGCCAATGCCCTGGTTTCATGAGGGTTGGATGCCGTAGGTGGCGGTCAAAGGAAATGAGTGTTGAACGCCTTCATATTGAATATGAGACGCATCTTGCTTGAGTTTTTCTTTGGCACAAGAAAATCCTGGAGCTATGCACACCGGATCGAAGCGTTCTACCGCATGTTTCTCCAGTAGAGTTGAGATTGTGGACGAAAGGACTGCAGCCTGATCCTGAGGATACGTTCGCTGCAAAGGTTGAATGGTGAGGGGTGGTTCCCCGACAACAGGCATTCGATAGCCGTGAAGAAGAGTCATTGTGACAAATGGATCCCCTAGAAACTCCCAGTTGGGAGCAAACAGATCTAACCTCCTGCCTACAGGGGAATCGAACACCAGAATCGCCGGAACCGGCAGAACCAATCCAAGCTCTGACTTCTGCAAGTCACTGTTTGGAGTTTTTACTTCCAGTTCCAGCGTCGGGTCTAAATGGGCGACGTGAAGTGGAACCATGAAAAGGCTTCCTGCCCCTGCCTCGTGCTTGAGAAGACGCCTTGTCTTTCAAACAGTCATGAAGGTCTGGATTGGAAGGGGTGAACACCATATTCCCCTGAAAAAGAATCTATCTTCCCATGTGTGGTGTTCCGACGGTGCCGCTTAGAGTCTTGAAGTTGAATTCCAACAGATCTACAGATACTTGAAACTGATTAAGACGGTCTACTTTGGATGCGACTTCTGCAATAGACCCACTGAACACCGTATCTCCCGACCACGGTTGACGAAACAATTCAGCCTTGAATCTATCTTCCCATGAGGATAAATTCAAAGGGCCCCAGCGCCGCATGGAAAGTAGATAGACAAAGAAATGAGAAAGTTGCCCCAAGACCACCTGGAATTGAAAGAAACGGATCTACGAGATAAAGTAGATCGCAAATCTTCCGTTCCAAATCTTGTGTAGAGGAAATATCAGTCATTACCACCCTTGCATGCCCATGAGAACTTGAGCTAGGTGAGGGAAGTGTCCCCAAAAGCCTTTTAACATTCTCAGACAAATAGGAATCAGACGAAGCGTCCATAAAATCTTCGTCAGGAGAGACGGGAGATTTAGAACGGCGAGCAGGTAGGGTGGGGCGATCTAAACATTGTTTTTTAGCGGGAGATGGACCAGATCCCGCAGAAGCATTCCTGGCCCTATCTGCCAAACGTCTGGCACAAGCACGTTTGTAAGCTTTAAAATCCTCCTTAGACAGTCCTGAACACTTAGGACAACGTTTGTCCCAATCACAACAACCCACACAATCAACACACGATGTGTGTGGGTCCCAAGCTGAAAAGACTTTATTACAATGGGCGCAAAACTTTCGTTTTCTGGCCTGAACAGGCTTATCCATGTTGAGCAATTCTCAGACACCAAAAAAAAAAATAATTTCACATCCACTCTGTCGAGCGACAAGATAGAGAATGAGTATGTAAGGTGATCACGTGGGTGAGGACTGCGCATGCCACGTGCTGTCACGGCCTAGTGAGCATGGCTAAGGCAGGAAGGCAATGCACAGCTCGGGGACAGGGACAAGGAAGGCCTGGAGCAAAGTTTAATTCGTTTCCACTCATGGTCGAATGAAAAGAGAGAGTTGCAAGTCGTGAGATAGGAGAAGTATATACAGTACAACCAGAAATTATTGAGAATTTAAAGATTGTAAATTTTTCACATTGTATTAAATGTACATATTAGCAGAACATAACTCCAGATTAAAAAACGTGAGAGTCTTATGAGCAAGGCGTGAGCAGCTTTGTACGGAATCAATTTCATCGTCATGCAATGCATGTGCACTAGCCTACATCTACTCTACCATTCACAGACCAAATGGGTTTGCTCATTGCCGTGCACCGCCTACTTCTCATAAACGCGTTCTCTACACCGGTCCAACTTAACCTTGTTTGCCAGTAGTGTTCATCTGACATAATGATGGTGTTCTATGTCTGTCACCAATTTAGTAAATTTAACAGTTAACAATAAATACCAATAACACAAGACATCTGTGACCAGCATGTTGTTTTATTTACAAAAGAGAAGATAATGATGCATTAATTTGTGATCTACAGTAATTCTGTTTCAAATACATATACATATCCATATGTAAGCTGATTAAACATCAATGTGGGTCACCTTGTAGGGAATGTCAGTATGGATGAAATTTACAAAAATTTCCTAAAAAAATATATGATTCTTGTCAACTGATGATCACAGATCATGAGTTTGGTGAAAGCCAGAAGCATAGCCTGGATCTTAGTCAGTGTTTGATAATCAGTGCATATGCAGGAAATAATGCTTTGATCTTGCCAGAAAAGGATCACAACTCACGGCTAGTTTCATGAGACATTCAGCACTGTTTAGCTGCCAATATCTATCCCTCCAAGTTGATACAGATTATTACAATACTATATGATTGTTTCATCAGCTTTCTGCAATGCTGAATGTTTCATCAGCTTTCTGCAATGCTGAATGTTTCATCAGCTTTCTGCAATGCATGTTTCATCAGCTTTCTGCAAAGTTGAATGTTTCATCAGCTTTCTGCAATGCTGTATGTCTTCATCGATCCAAAGAGAACAACACACTATTCCTTTATGACAATGTTGGAATGGCTGTGATGTGAGAAGCAGAGATGATCCATTTATGTTTTCAGAATCGACAGTCAAGTCTCCACTGTGTGAGTGTCATATACACTATCCATGGTAATAATCCTGCTCAGAATGTTACACCCACACATTTCATCCACTTGGATCAATTTGGTCCTTAGCAATTTCTTTGACATCTTAAACCATTTATGTATCTCTCTGTTCAGGGTCCTTCTTAACAGCAAATGAAAAGTTTGAGCCTTGACCTCCAAAGACACTTTTGACTCCAAGGTCATCTGAAGCACCTGGGGTCAACACCTGACCTTGCTGTGACCCTGACCCGCCAGAGGGCAAGGACATGACCACTATTTTCTGTGGAGTAGTTCTAGGCACAGTGTTTGTGTTAGCTCCTTGAGCTGTGGTAACAAGTTTGACTATTGTAGGGGCTGACCCAGCACTGCCACTGTTGATGGTGATGTTCTGTGATGAAGGGGTGGTGGAGCGAGGCTGAGATGACACAATGACATACTTCTGGGATCCCCCCAGAGTAGGGGTGGCAGGTGTTCTGGGCATTGCCCCTGTCGGAGTGGGGAACCTGGGTGTGGTCGGGGTGCCTGGTTGGGGTGTAGATCCGGATGATTGGATCAATATCTGAGGCCGAGACTGTAAACACAGAAAATGAAGTTTCTTCATAACAGTGTGAAATGAACTTATGAAAGCAATAATGGATTCACATGTGGATTTAATTAGACTTTCCTGAAAAGAAGATTAATTAAGGCAGATTATGTATTTTGGCTAAACTGTTTTCTATCACAGAATTTCATGATAAATTGCTGGTAGAAATGAAGGAATATTTGACTTAACACTTCTGCAGACCAGTGAATAATTAATTTCATTCAATGGGAGTATGCTGTCTTAACATCCCAGATTCTGACACAAAGAGTGAGATTTGAATTTAATGCTGCATTGAACACAATCAAAGTTATACCACAGCATGTCCCTTGGGAGAAAAGCCTGTGTAAGGTCTAAAGTGTCTTATACGTTCACTACTCTGGTGAAAACCATGACACAGACATGGTTCTGATCAACCTAGAAATGATTAGAGCAAACCAGGATTCGAACCCATGATAGCTCAAGGGATGCAACCTTGCACAATGTGCATCCAAAGACATATGCATGTAGCGTCGGGGTTGAATGTAGTGCTTGCAGATAGACCAAATGTCCATATAATTGGTGATTTACCTGGATACTTTTATTGAAATATGACATGATAAAAGACATGAGCATGGTGCATGGCATTCACAACCATATAAATATGGAGAAGGTGGTTTGATAGTGAACAAAAGTCTATGCATTGAAATCCTAACTTCAGATTCCAGTCACTGAGCTGACACCTTTTGACCCAAGAGTGTAAACGTGGTACTCCTTAATGACGTACCTGCTGCAGCTGAACAGTTGGTTTGGCTGGGGTGACAGCGCAAGTGCTGACAGTGGGGGTCTGTCTCTCCTTCAGGGTAGCGTTGTACAGCAGTGCGCCCACATACCCAAACTCATTGTTGTAGTCCTCAAGCGTCTCACTCGGAGACTTCAGGTTCTTCAATACTGGTGGAACATATTTCTGTGCAGGAAGAAAACAAGGTCTATATTAGAATTCTGGAAAGTTTGTTTGTTGTTTAATGCTGCACTTTCAGATATATGGCGGCAGTCTGTAAATAATCGAGTATGAACCAGACAATCCAGTGATTGACATCATGAGCATCAACATGCACAATAGGGATACGATGACGTGTCAACCATGTCAGCGAGCCTGACCAGCCGAACCCGTTAGTCGCCTCTTACGACAAGCATGGGTTGCTGAACACCAGATCTAACCCGGATCTTCACAGGTTATTCTGGAAAGTAATAACCGTCAATAGCTAGACAGCCTTACTAATCGTTACAGCAATGTAATTTGTTAGTGGTCTGGACATGAGTTCACAAGGATAGCACATTGAACACGCATGTCAGGGTCCGTGCCGTTGAGATTGACATCCAGTGATCGAGGGAAAAAACAAAGCGCCTTTGAGCAGCTGAGCTGGACATCGGTGCTATACATATGTATGTATGTATGTATGTATGTATGTATGTATGTATGTATGTATGTATGTATGTATGTATGTATGTATGTATGTATGTATGTATGTATGTATGTATGTATGTATGTATGTATGTATGTATGTATGTATGGATGGATGGATGGATGGATGGATGGATGGATGGATGGATGCATGCATGCATAAGGTAAGATAATTCCCTGTTATAGTTGTTATTTTGATTTCCAAAGGGAAATTTGGAGGAGGAAATTTGCATCACAACAGCTCCAGTTTTTCATTCATAAAGCAGCCATACATAACATTGCAATTGGTAATCATGAAATAATCAGGATATAAATACATCAATTTAGTACACAAACATAGATATTGAATAGAATTTTGACAATTAAAAGACAAGTCATTCACAGAATTATGCAACCCTAGTGCTAAGTCTACCTTACGTCTATGTTAAGGTGTGGGACTTACAGTAACCTTAGCACGAAGATCGCTTTGTACAACGGCACCCTGTACAACGGCACCCTGTACATGAATGTTCTTCATAGAACACTCTGCTGCTCTACTGTTACAACACCACACAGATCATATGTTTTGGCTTCACTTCTATAGTCTGTACTGCCATGACTTCAGGTAATATTACCATCCACTAAACCATGAGGAGGACAGGACAAAGGACAATATTGTGTACTTGAAATAAACCTAATCAATGCTTTATGTATGTAATACTTGTGGAGCGCAATAGTGCAGTGGTAAGGCGTCTGCCTATCACGCTGAAGGCCCGGGTTTGATCCCTGGTGGAGGCACCTAGGTTCGGGTCCTGAAGTGGGCACATTTGCGTAGTATCCTTGGACAAGATACTTAAATCCATATTATCTCAGTTCACCCAGCTGTAAAATGGGTACCTGTGAGGATGTGCTGGCAATGTGAGTGCTTAGTTCATTGCATCTAACAGGCCGCATGGCTGTATACTTCCCAGGGAGTTGAAAAAGTATCAGAAAGTACGATAGTGTCCTATGACCGGGGATAGTCATGTACGTAGCGCCTGGAGCAGGGAAAGTGCCTGGATATGAGCGCCATATAAGCGGACTATTACAGCTATTACTATTACTAATACTCTGCATGGACATAATTATACTGTAAATTGCATTTATAACAAACTAACATACATGTTGTTTTCAGTCTGACACTCATGTAATTTTCTGAATAAAATTGATATTTTATACTTATCCTGACTCATGCTTATTATGGTTGTCTCCTCTCCTCCTTCTATGCGAATGATAGTGGAACACTTGAAATCCCTTGTAGTTGCCTTTAAAGCAGATGTATAAGTACACTCCCCCACGAGTTGCCTCCCTTGCACAGTTTCCCGCCAAAACAGTCACATGACTAACCATGCTTGTCACTCTCTCCGTAATATGCCCGACACGTGGATTTACCGTGAAATCCGAAGTGCCATAAGTGGGGAGGTTGGGAGGGCTTGACATCATGAGTACACCCCCCACGAGTTGCCTCCCTTGCATAGTTTCCCGCCAAAACAGTCACATGACTAACCATGCTTGTCACTCTCTCCGTAATATGCCCGACACGTGGATTTACCGTGAAATCCAAAGTGCCATAAGTGGGGAGGCTGGGAGGGCTTGACATCATGAGTCAGGATAAGTATAAAATATCAATTTTATTCAGAAAATTACATATTTTTCCTTATCCTGACTCATGGTTATTATGCTTCCAGAATCTGACGGATTGGTGGTGGGTCAGGTCACCTTCTGGGACTTATTGGCTGTCCTAGATACGTCCTGTATCTACCTCCATGGGAACTATCATACAGCACTTCTTGACAATCCTGCTCTTCCAACTTCCATCTGCCAACTCGGGGGTACCACATCTTGTCAGACTTCTTTAAGACAAGTGATTTAAGATATACTAGTGTATCCTTGCTAGATATCTATAATAACTCATGTAAGAAATATCTTCTTATCGTAAGAGTTACGACGCTTCTCACGTACAAGTACTTCTGTACAAGTACAAGATCTAAATCACTCATGTTGGTCTGTTTTAGACATAAACATGGACTCTCAACCAAGACTCTCCAGAGCGAGGTTATCAGCAAGTCACGTGATAAGAGGGTGAGATTTTCAATTCAAGGCCTCTGTGGAACCGTTAGTTGTTGTGCAACAACAAGTGGCCAAAACTGGTGAATGCCGGAAACATCTTCCGTGGCAATGTCTCTCAGGTAGTGGTTGGCAAACACCGTATCTGATTTCCAAAAGCAGCCTTCCATTATTGATGCTATCAACAATTCCCATGCAGAGCGAGAGTAGACGCCAAAGCTCTAACTTCGTGTGGGTTGGATGCACTCGGAGGTGGCAATCCTGCTACTTTGTAGGCCCTTAGTATAACGGCTCTCATCCATACTGATATTGTTGTTCTGGAGACTTCTGTGGATGTCTCTGTAGACAACGGTATAAACAGGCCGCTTGAACTTTGGTCTCATTGTTCTTGTCCGGTTAAGGTAAATTTTCAATGCTCTAACCGGACATAAAGATAAATCCTGTACATCCTCCTGTCCGAGGATTGTTGATAAGGCTGGTACATGAAAGCTGATTCTTTGCCACAAAATCCCATCTAAGTCCTAAATGTGCTGCCGCACGATGTCCTGTGTCGAACCGAGTTCGTCCAAAATCCAGCGCATGTATCTCTGATACTCAGGCTGCCGTGGCTAAGGCGAGTAGAAACAATGTTTTCTGCGTAAGTAGTTCGAGTGACGTTTGCTCTTACGGCTCGTAGGTATCATTGGTGAGATGTTGTAGTACTACATTGAGATCCCACGCAGGTGCCTTAAATTTCTTTTGCTGATCCTCCAGCTTTAAGGAACGTAATAAGGCCAGTAGTTCTGGTACTTTTGTCAATTTGCTAGGGCTGCGCAATATAACCGGTTTACCGGTATTTACCGGTTCAGACATGAAAATGATACATATTGCGATACTCTGGTTGAAAACCGGTATTTTGACTTGCATTCGGAAAACTTCGTAACACTCAGAAATCTTCGGATATTTCCTTGTTTCATTTGTGCCAAATATTCTTCACATTTTTATTTTATCATGATTAAAAGTTGTTATTAAAGCATTATCAAGCATAGTGATTTTGTTGTGTTTTTGCTCTATAAAGCAAGCATTAACTCGCTTATAAGTAGAATTTTGTTTAAAAATACTTCAGGCAATATATTGCAATACATATCGCAATACATGCTTTCGCATCGCAATATATTGCAATATGAAAATTCTGTGCAATACCCACCCCTACAATTTGCTGCCTGTCTTCATGGTCAAAACTGAGCTAATAGCCGCCAAGTACGTGGATAAGGTCGAACCTTTTAATCTCTTAGTCTGTTGTAGATGACATAAGTAATCCGCCACTCGAGGATGAGATGCTTTCGTTGCTGTGAAACCTTGATGGCCTCTCCCAGCTTCTCTGCTTGCTCGTCTGCGTACTTGAAGATGAGGGGTCTGTCGGTCAATGGAGGCGTGGCTTTCAGTTGAATTCCGTAGCCTTCTTGAAGGATCTGAGATACGTAGATGTCTTGTAGTATTCCCCAATTTTCCCAGTAACGCTGCAAACGTCCACCCACTTTCTATGGTTGCACAGGAATGGCTGGGGGTGGAAGACTCCAGTCGTTCCGAACCCCATCTTCAACGTCTCGACTCCCTGGAACCTCTGGGGGCACGTCCTCGCCCCAAGGCATTCCTGGTATTCCCGGCTGGCCGACGAAAAGAACCTCTTGCTCCTCTGGAACTAGAATATTTCCTCTCCTTTGCCTTCTGGATATTCGCAAACTTGGATTTGTTGCTGTAACGATGAGACGTCTGGCGGATGACATTCGCTAAGGTGTCGATCGACTTAATCATCATCACTTCTCTAGAGTCGTGAGTGACCTCTTTGGCAACCTCTTCAATTCCTCCGCTGAAAAGAGTGGGGGCTGACCATGGGGCTCTCAGGAGTGACTTGGTATATCTTTCGCTCCAGTTGCAGGATGACAGAAGACCTTGTCTTCTTAACAGCGTAAGGCCTGCAGATGTAGATGCCAAGTGGTCCGACATGAATTGGTGATCCCTCTTCTGGGTGAGAAGTGCAGATAAGATCATCCTATCCTCTTCAGCATGAGAGTTCTGGAACTTTGCAATGAGCGCCTCGTTGATTGCTCTCGACCTAGCCAGGCCGAAGAAAGTGCGTCTATAGTCCGTTTGTCTCAAAAGCGGACCGATGAATTGCAATCTAACTCGAAAACTAATAAACATATAATACTCAATGAAACGCTGATCATAATCAAAACATCATACCCACTCTGTGAGGTTTTTGCAGAATTTTTGTCCTAAAAATAAAAAAGTTGTTTATCAAACTATCATTAAAATATTGACACAGTTCACTGTTTGTTACGAGGGAGGAGTGCAGAGAAAGGGACAGCCAGGTGTGCGAGAAGCACGTTCACAGACAAAGTTATTTATTCATTAACCTGTCCTGTGCCGTCTCCATCCGTTCTCGAACACCTGGCTGTCCCTTTCTCTGCACTCCTCCCTCGTAACAAACAGTGAACTGTGTCAATATTTTAATGATAGTTTGTTCAACAACTTTGATATTTTTAGGACAAAAATTCTGCAAAAACCTCACAGAGTGGGTTTGATGTTTTGATTATGATCAGCGTTTCATTGAGTAATTTATGGTTATTAGTTTTCGAGCTAGATTGCAATTCATCGGTCCGCTTTTGAGCCAAACGGACTATAGTTGTGGTGTCCAACTGTGCAATCTTTTATCATCCACTTTATATAGTTTACTGCGACTATCGTTGATAAGTCTGTAATTCTCATCCAAGTCGGGCGCTCTCATAAATGGCTCCATGTGGTGAAGAGGGAATCTTCTCGCACTAAAAACTGGAACGTGCTGGTTCTGTGACTTCGTTGCTTTCTCGAAGGCTAAACTGAGGCTTGCCGGGACTCCTACAATGGGTTCAATAGGCGGGATCGTGAGCGAATCAAAGTCATCATCAAGCATTCTGTAAGTGAGTGCTTCATTCCGTTCCTTGCATGGAGATGCTAAATCGAGACCACTCGCTATCCATGAAGTAACCTCTGCATCTGAAAAGATCCCATCACGCTCTTCATCCTTGTCTGACGAGCTGTGTCTTCGCGAATCCCTTCGCGCATGCTCCAATCGTGAGTCCTTCCTTGGAATCTCTTGTTCGCAAATGATCCTTCCTGTAGGCCGGTGAAGAAGATCTATGACTGTAAGATCTGCTTGATACTGACGTGGTGCGTTCGTGCCTCGGAAGAGATTCCCTGGAGATGGAGCGACGACGTTCTCGAACTGTATCCTCATTCATATTCGCGGATCCCTCTCGACTGCAGAACGTTGATTCCTCGGTAGGTGAAGACCTTTTCGAACGCTGGTGATCCTGCGTCGCAACTGTTGTGTTCGCCGACTGATGATCCACGAATGCTGCATCCTGTGGAGTGGATTCCATCCTAGGTACTGCAATCGCCGAAGCTTGCTGTAACCTCTTCTCTTCGGCGAACCTCTTCTCCATCAAGTATAGAATCTGCTGTGTGAATTGCTTCATGAATGCACCCTGGTCAAAGTTCTGCGCTGATTGATGAGGAATAGACGACGCATCTGAGAACGTGGACTCATCTTCTAGTCTGCGTTGTGAACAAAGTGAAGAAATGCTGATGTTCTCTCTGGCACCCGATGTCTGTGAGGCTGACAGACAATCTTTAATCATCTGCTGCGCTGATGAAGCAGCTGAGGACGTAGATCTGGCCGACGACGGCTGCTGCGACATCTTGGAGACTTGCGTGGAGACCTGTGTGGAGATCTTCGTGAAGACCTGCGTTGAGACCTGCGCGGAGACCTGCGCGCAGGCGACTGATTCAGATAAGGATCCTCCCTGGAGTCTTGAGACGGTATGTAGGGTGCCCGCGCGCAGGCTCCTGATGGCTGACGTATCTGAGGAGGATGATCTGCGATGCTCCGGTGAACGTCTGGTTCTGCTCCTGCGCGAAGGCTCCTGTGGAATATCTATTGCAGATTCATCGTTGTCCATACTGGCAGGCTCTCGTGAAGATGTCATGGAACATCGTTGAGTGTGTGATCCTTCATGTAGGTTTCCTCCTTCACGCAGGCTGCTATCTTCAGCGGGATGCGATCTGCAGGCTGCTTGTCCTTCATGCAGGTTCGTTGTAGATGGGGCCTTCGTCACAGCTTTCTCCTGCGCGAACCTCTGTTCCATCAGGTCCAACATCTGCTGCGTAAACTGCTGCATGAAGACACCCGGGTTGAAACTCTGCGACGACGGCTGCTGCTGCTGCACTGCGGACGACGCATCTGAGAGTACTGAGGCTTCTCCCAAGGACTGCTGCACTTGTGAAGACCTGCCATCTCTATCTGATGTCTGCGTTGATAGAACGTCTGACTGCGCTGAGATGACTGCTGATGTTACTGTAGATGAAGACCTCGTCTTCTTCCTCACTGCTACTTCAGGAATGAGGATGGGTGGCTCGTCATATACGTCTACTTCGTCTGCTGGGTTGATCTCTGCAGTGGAGGACCTCGTCTTATGCGCTGCCCCATGGGAAGACATCGCAGGAGTCTTGTCTGGCTACGACTTCCTCTTCTGAGAAGACGATGCCCTAGTCTTCTTAGACTGTGACGAGGTCATAGTTGATGTAGACAACCTCTTCCTGGAGCCGGAGCTGCCATCAGTCACAGCGACATGTTCCGTAGAAGCCATCAGTAAATCACTGGAATGGTGAATGTCAGTAGACAGCAATAAACGGTTATCAGCGCAATCACTCGGTTTAGACATAACCTGTAAAAGCCGTCTAGACCTGTCCTTGGCACGTCTAAGAATGGAATATAAATAATTATTAAATTCAAATTCAGATAAATGCTGACAAAGTTGACAGCGAAAGCTGGAAGAACATGTAGAAGTACAATTAGGACATAATAGATGAGGATCAGCAACCGACAAACGGTATCTGCAATGAATGCAACTTTCATCAATTGTAAACAAGATGAAAAATCATGTCAACAACGTGAATAAACAGATAATTTAAACAAAAATTTCAAACCATATTACTGGTATATCAATCCTAAATGCCGTATACAGCTAATGTAGTAGTAAAGGCCTAAATATAAAAGGATATAAAACGTATAGGGGACCCAGGCGCTCTCACAACCGTCCTCTAGGGCGAAGAAGGAGAGAGTGAAAACATGTGGGGTCATTTGACGCAGTTTCCGCCAAAACAGCTAAAGGGAGATAACACTGGGTGAGTGATTTTACGTCCACTTTTTGAAGGAGCTTAAAAGGGGATTCAAGTGTTCCACTATCATTCGTAAGAAGAAGGAGACAAGCAATTAAGCATGTGTCAAGATAAGGAAAAATAACAAGGCGTGGCGAGGTATCCTCTACCTCACACCCTGTAATATACGCACTGTTTGCTAGTGGTCGTTACAGTTTGCTATGTACAGAGTTGCAATATTGTTGTACAAATGTATTACACCGATTCCCTCGGCTGTGTTCCCATGACGACAGTGGTCAGACTGTCCTCACATTTGTAAGGCTACAGTGCAGTGTTTGTTTATATCATTAAAATAAACAAATTCATTTCATGGGCGTTTTAGGGGACGCTCACGGTGAAATGCTCGCTCTTCTTCTTCACATAGAATATGAAAGCCACCATTTTGGTTTCTCTACGATTAATTTTAGCGATCCTAAGTTGGTCATGAGCAACTTAGACTTTGGATCTTAACTTTACGATTGACTTGGGTAAGATTGGTTAGTGGAACGGTGTGCCGATCGTAACGTCACGCTAAGATTGGGATTTTATTGGCGTAGGGCTTAGATCGGTTAGTGGAACGGCACCCGTTTGAATCCCCACATGGGTACAACATGTGAAGCCAAGTTCTGGTCTCCCCTGCCGTGATATTGCTGGAACTTTGCTAAAAGCTCACTCACTCACTCACACTCACCATAGCTATAGTTTACTGTATTCTACGATAAATGCATATGCAACTTCTTCATGGATCAATGAATAAGCTCTTAAAAGCCCTTCACTTACAGTTAACTGTTTCTTGATATGTTCAGCAGCAATCTTGTCAGCATTATTGAGTATGGGACCCTCCAGTGCCATCCTCATCCTGTCTCCAAGCCCCTTGATGTGTGGCAGCAGGAACGTCTTCGTCACCTCTGGTCCCAGCTCACCCAACCCTGACAGGGCCCCATACTGTGTGGCCAGTGCAGACTTGTCTCCTAACAGCGCCTTGCTGAAGGTCTTGGTGATACGAGCTTGGATGTTGTTGGTGTTACTGCTGAAATTTCTGCAAACAGATATGATGGAATTAATTCTTCTGTTACATCCTCAGCCACAGTTTCCTTAAGGTACAGATGTGGTGGAACAGGTTTGACATCATGTTCAAGATTACTGCATTCATATAGTGATGTGAATGCATTTGGAGGAGAGTGATTCCCTGTAGTAGTCCCAAACAAAGACAGTTTTATACTGCTAGCTTACTCAGATATCATACTATATCAAACTTTTGGCATATATTTTCAGCACTCTAAGACATTTACAGTACTCAAATTTCATGTGCATGGGAGATGTTACCTGCAAAACTTGTGAGGTGAGGTGACATGGGGCTTAACATCGTACTTGAGAATATTTCGCTCATATGACGTGTATGTGTGTGTATGTGTATGTGCGGCTGCTTGTACTAGCCCAGACTGAAGCTGGTTCTATAGTGCTAGCTCACCCAGATACCATGCCGCAGTGAAGCATGAATACCCCACTCAGACACATTATACTGACTCCGAGCCAACCAGTCCTTGCCCATTAATGCCGAGCGTCAGGCAGGGACCAACAAGTACCATATTTTAACGTCTTTTGCTATGACACGGCCAGAGATCGAACCTGCTACCTTCCGCTCTCCGGGTGGACTCTCTAACCACTAAAACCACAGGGGCGGTCTCGTAAAACTTGTGAGCAAAACAAGGTATTCCTGCTCTTAACATGGTTAAAAGTATTGAAAATTAATAAAAATACATCCCAAATATCCTTACTTGCTGATTTGTGCCATGAGTCTGGACGCAAAGTCTCGGAGAGCCCAATGATTGTCCACATCCGGACGAAGACACAGCTGTCGGCTCACAATACAAGTTGCTACTGCGGGAATTACCTCATGGAGCTGTGTGACAGAAAATTTGAATCATATATTGTCAAAACCTATTGCAATTAGGTGTACCCGTACAAGTGAAGAGTGTAACTAAAGGGAGATAACTTATGCATTACTATAGTATCAACCTAAACTTACTTCATGAAAATCAAATTTAAATAAAATGAATTTTTTAAAGTAAAATTGATATTATTATACTTATCCTGACTCATGATCTTTTGCTTATCTCCCTTTCCTTTTCGAATGGTAGTGGAACACTTGAATCCCTTGAAGTTCCTGAAGCGGACGTAAATATACACTCACCCACGAGTTACCTCCTTTTTGCCCTTTTCCCGCGCCGCAAACAGTCATGTGACCAGCCTTACTTGCACTCTCTCCTGATTTTCTGCCCATGCACTTGGATCTGCTGTGAAATCCAAAGTGTCCTCAGCGGGGAGGTTGGGAGGGCTTCTCGTCATGAGTCAGGATAAGTATAAAAATATCAATTTTACTTGAAAAATTACATATTTTTTTCTTATCCTGACTCATGATCTTTTGCTTATAGAATCCGATGGATTGGTGGTGGGTCAGGCCACTTCCTGGATTGATCAGCTGTCTATAGATACGTCCTGTATCCCCCCCATGGGTACTGCGAAACGGCATTTCTGTGATCCTATTCTTCCAACTTCCGTTATAACTCGGGGGGGACCACTTTCTTGTCTTACTTCAGTCTCAAACAAGTTGAATCATGTTGATTCATGTGGCTACAGATAAACTAGTATCTTCTTATTACTAGATATCTCATAACAACCCATAGATTATGATAAGATCTTTATCATAAATGAGTTGCGACCCCTTCACATACAGGTAAGATCTTTACCCGTACATGATTGTTAATTACTCATGCTAGCCTGTCCTAGACTGTGCGCATGGGCTTTCAAACTAATACTTTTTCTTTAGTAAAGTTATCACCAAGTCAACGTGATAAAGGGTGAGATTTTCCAACTCAGCGCCTTTGAGGAACCGTTAGTTGCTGTGCTAAAACGAGAGGCCCAAATTGGTGAATGCCTGAGATGTCTTCAGTGGCTATGTCTCGGAGGTAGAGGTTTGCAAACACTGTGTCCGACTTCCAAAAGCAGCCCTCCATAATTGTTGGTATAGAGCAATTTCCGTGCAGAGCCAGTGTTGACGCCAGTGCTCTGACTTCTTGTGGGTTGGAAGCTCTAGGAGGTTCTAGTCCTGCTGCTTTATAGGCTCTCAATATGATGGCTCTCATCCAGAACGATATCGTCGTTCTTGAGACTTCTGCTGATGTCTCTGTTGATAATGGGATGAACAGGCGCTTGAATTTTTGTCTCCTTGTCTCAGTCTTTTGAAGATATATCTTCAGGGCTCTGACCGGGCACAAGGATAGGTCTTCTATATCCTGTGGGCCGAGGATTGTAGATAGCGCTGGTACGTAGAACTGTCTATCTGGCTGACCGGGTAGTTGGTTCTTGACAATGAAGTCCCATCTAAGTCCTAGATGAACTGCAGCATGTTGCCCCCTGTCGAATCTGGTTCGACCAGAGTCCAGCGCATGTATCTCTGATATTCGAGCTGCCATGGCTAGCGCTAGCAGGAACAGAGTCTTCTGTGTCAGCAGCTTGAGTGTAGTCTGGTCTAGAGGTTCGTTGGCATCACTCGTAAGATGACATAGAATTACATTCAGATCCCAGGCTGGAGCTCTGAACTTCTTTTGCTGGTCCTCCAGTTTAAAAGATCTCAGCAGAGCAAGTAACTCTGGTACTTTCGTCAACTTGATGCCTGTTTTCATGGTAATCACTGTACTGATGGCGCGGCGAGGTATGTAGATAATGTCGAACCTTTCAGATGTCTGGTCTGTCTAAGATGACACAGGTATTCAGCCACTTGAGGATGAGTAGCTATCATTGCAGTGAAGCCTTTCCGCCTTGCATAAGTCTCAAACTTCAGCCATTTGTCATCATACAGGTTACGAGTAGATCTGCGTAACGCTAGCGTTACTGCCCTGGCTGAGTATCCTCTTTTCTTCAAACATGTTTTGATACGGTCCACACGTGTAGCTGGAACACTGTCGGGTTCCCGTGGACTTGCTTGGTGTGCGGATGTATGAGACTTCTGAGATCTTCTATTAGGTCTAGGAACCATACTCTCGCTGGCCAGTAGGGTGCGACCAAAGTCAGTTGTAGCGCCTGAGTCTGTTTGATCTTCAGCAGTACTTCTGGAAATAATATCGGGGGTGGAAACGCGTAAGGCGTTTAGTCCTTCCCATGATATGCTCAGTGCATATGGTGCCCAGGCTTGAGGATCTGGAACTGGTGAGACAAATGTCTGTAGTTGTTTGTTGAACCTCGTGGCAAACAGGTCTATGCAAGGGGATCCTATTTCCCTTATGATGAGCCGGAACGCTTCTGGATGGAGCATCCATTCCGTAGGTGACGGGTGCAGTGGTCGGGAAAGAGCGTCTGCAAGTACGTTCTTGGCTCCGGGTATGTAACACGCCTTTATCCAGATGTTTGCCTCCTCCATGATGTCAAACAACTTGAATGTGAGCTGTAGCAGGCTTGGAGACCTTGTGGATCCTTGCCGATTTATGGAGAATGCCACTGTAGAGTTGTCCGTGTGGACCATCAGCATTCTGTTGTTCAGCGAGCTCGACCATAGTTGTAAGGCGTTGATCACGGCTTTCATCTCCAGCAGATTGATGTGAAGATGCTGCTCTATTTTGGACCACCTTCCTGACGCAACTTGATTGTTGAGATGCGCACTCCAACCCTGCATCGCGACGTCTGCATAGAGATGTGTGTCAAAGGCCGGCTCTTGTAAATAGGTCCCTCCGCAAACGTTCGACCTGTGCGTCCACCACAGTAGATACCTCTTGAGGTTGTCTGGCAGCAAGATAGGGTCGAAGCAGTCTAGATGTTTTGTCAGGAACCGTTGCAGCGGTCTTAGTTGTAACCGTCCTGTGCCAGTCAAGTCCTGCGCCGAGGTTAGTAGACCGAGTAGAACTTGCCATGATCGTAGTGTTAACGGAGAGATGACTACTGGTGGAACATGGCTTGTATCTTGACCCAACGATCTTCTGGGACAACAATACGATTCTGTGTTGTGATAAACCTTATCCCCAGATATTGTAGATCATGTTTTGGTTCCAACTCTGACTTCATAAGGTTCACCAACCATCCTAGTTGAGTGAGCAGCTTGATTGTGAAGTTCAGCTGTAGTTTGAGTTGACTGGCATCTTGGTGAACCTGAATTCTGTCATCCAAGTAGAAGGCATTGCGTAGACCTCGATGATGTAGATATGCGACTATAGGCTTGGTTACTCGTGTGAATAGCCACTGAGCCGAAGATATTCCAAACCGTAGGACGTTCCATTGGAAGTGCTGCCCTCTGAATAGGAATCGTAGATACTTTCTTGATTCCGGATGTATAGGGATGTGTAGATCAGATACGCATCCTGCAGGTCTATGCTGGCCATGTAATCTGCTGGACGGACGAGTAGTCTGAGTTGAGGTAGGTGGATCATTCTGAACCTCTCTGGTTTCAGTAGATAGTCTTCGTTGAATTTGCGCATGTTGTAATTTGCGCATGTTGTAAATCAGTCTGAACTACTCCTTGGAGTTCTTCTTGGGTACTAGAAAAATTGGGGAATAGAAGCCTGGAGTGAGATGATGCTGATCTATTATCTCTACCGCCTCCTTCATAAGTAGTGAGTCGATGGCTTCTTGTAGTTTGTCTGCCTGTTCCTCTGCATAGTTGAAGACCATCGGGCTGAGGGTTAGCGGAAGTGCGGCCTTGAGATGTACTCTGTATCCTTCTCGTAGTACTTGGGAGACGTAGTCGTCCTCTAGTATTCCCCAATTCTTCCAGTACCTTTGTAGACGTCCACCCACTGCCGACAGTTTTACAGGAACGGCTTGGGGTGGATATCAACGTCTAGTTCCTCTGGATCCTCTGGGAGTGCGGCCTCTCCCTGAGTTTCCTTTGTAATTTCTGGATGGGTGACGAAAAGATCCTTTGCCGCCTCTGAAGCTGGGGTACTTCTCGTCCTTTACTTGGACTTGCTGTTATTCTTTTGCGCGAAGTATGACGGATGACGTTGGCCAGAGTATCTATGGATTTTATCATCATAACTTCTCTAGAGTTGTGCGTAGCTTCCTTAGCTGCATCCTCTATTTGTCCTCCAAAGATAGTAGGCGCCTCCCATGGAGCTCGCAGTAGCGGTTGGGTAAATCTATCACCCCATGAACAGGATGCAAATAGCCCTTGTCTGCGTAGTAAAGTGAGACCTGCAGATATAGATGCCAGATGGTATCATTCTATCCTCTTCCGAACTTGAGTTCTGGAATTTATTGATGAATGCTTCATTGATGGCTCTGGACCTGGCCAACCTGAAGAAGGATCTCCTTGTAGCAATATCCAGTTCAGATAACTTTTTGTCTTCCACTTTATACATCTTGTTTCGGGAGTCATTGACTAACTTGATGTTATCATCCCATTTAGGCGCGCCTTTGCAAATGGATCCATATGATGTAAGGGGAATCTCTTCACATTAAATGATGGTAGGTGCTGACTCTGGTACTTGGATGCTTTCGCGAAAGCTGTGCGTAGGTTAGAGGGTACCTTGGACATAGGTTCAATCGGAGGGATAGTGACGGAGTCGAAGTCGTTGACGCGCATCCTATAAGTGTAGACTTCATCTTTATCCTTAGAAGGAGACTCCAAGTTCAACACGTTGGCAATCCACGCTGTAACCTCTGAGTCTGGGAAGACGAAGTCTGCTTGCTGATCCAAAGTCTCCTGAATATTAGTGCTAGGTCTCTGCGACTCATCCATCTGCGAATCTGTATCCCTTCTCGTACCTTCATCATCCTTTTCGCGAATCTCTATCTGAAGATTCCTCCCTATGCGAATGTCTATCTTGAGAGTGCTCTCTTCGCGAACCTCTGTGATGTGAGCTATCCCTTCGTGAACGTCTGTCGCTGGATGTAGCCTTTCGTGAACTTCTG